TAGAAGCTACTGTCGATGGTTCCTCACTAGAAGGAACTACTGTTGATGGTTCCTCAGGAGTAGAAGCTACTGTCGATGGTTCCTCGCTAGAAGGAGCCACCGTCGATGGTTCCTCACTAGAAGGAACTACTGTTGATGGTTCCTCCGGAGTAGAAGCTACCGTCGATGGTTCCTCACTAGAAGGAGCCACCGTCGATGGTTCTTCACTGGTAGAAGCTACTGTCGATGGTTCCTCACTGGTAGGAGCTACCGTCGATGGTTCTTCAGGTGTTGAATAACAGCGGAGTTCACCGTTTGACACTGTACATACTGTTGGAATGGTTCTCGCTTCGATGAGAGTCGCCGAAACGGCAACGAGTAATAGTAGATAGAATCCTGCAAGTTATATAGTGAATTATGCAGTTATGATCGATAGCTTCATTCACCGATTGGAATCTTCTTTAATATACATCTTTTTTCAACAATTGCAATTATAACGTTTGATTATGCGCTGAGGTGTAGCATATTCAAATTTTATTCGTTGGAATGTTATTAATGTTGCTTAATGATTGTATACGACAAATATTTCGAAGAAAAAGTTGTTCTTTAATTTTGTTGCTTGTAGCTAATAACTGGGTAATTTTCCATGTACTTACCTCCCATAGCGTTCGGTTTGACTTGGTGGTCTTGAGCACGATGTTCACCTCTCTTATTTCTGTAACCAACTACTGAGTAGTTTTGTCTCTTGCCATCACCTTTATAAGCGTCCAGAAATCTTATCGTGATTGTCAATTAGGATACAGGGCAAGTTCGCGAAGATTCCACTGATCTAACGACATGTCTTTTCCAGATAAGAGGAAGATGTTTATAACTTACTGAACTTATACTTTTATAGTGAACGGAAACGAGATCGTTGATTTGTCGGAGTTAACTCTCACTCGACAACCTAGAATATTAGATCCGCGAGAGATAATCCATTTTCGGTTATTAAAATGATAAACTGCTACGAAAACGAATAAATGCTATGAAAACGAATATCGGACACGATTGATCGATATCGCTTTCCACTATCTGCTTTTACAGATTATATAACAACTTTTATCGGATGGATAGTGACTCGTGACAATTATCAGCGATATTGAAACAATTCGGTAAGAACATTCTGGACAGGTACCATAAATCAAAGCGTCGTCTTTAACCCTTGGACGACAATATTTAAATGTATTTTAACACAAATTTGCATGGACTCCGTTGTTCTAACAACTTTTTATATTTTACACTGATACACTATACACTTCAGTATTATCCAATTGATTAAAGTAACAGTTGATATTGGCCATACTCTGAGAGTAATGTCGTACCTCGCGATTATTCGAAAGTAACATTAAAAAATGAAATTAATATTATCTATTGTATATTTATTACAATTACACATTATATTTTATACGGTAGTAACACCGACAGATTTCGCCATTCTTCATCGATAATAAATTGATTGAATACTGGAAATATTCTTATTGAAAGTATTCTTCTCCTGTTTATTTCACGAGCCGTTTCACAGAAGGATCGTGACCAATAATCGAGCATGATTTTCCATTGTACTTTCCGTTGAATGACGTACACCTGACACACTTGAAATTTGACGAAATATCGATAGCCTTGTAAAGCCCATCGTATCAGCGTTGTTAGCGTTAAGCTGAGATGTTCAGATAGTCTGTCGAGTCACCGATTCCGTTCAAGCTGTTTCGAAGAAACCTGGCTCGTTCGACGCAAATTACTCATACCGGTGTGACGAAAATAAAAAAAAGCTACTTTTAAAAATCAGTGGTCCCGTTAGACTCGGCCGGAAATTGATTATTCCACCGACTCCGACATCCATCTGTGTTTACCCTTTGCACTCCAGAGCCGCCTCTCAATCGCCGATTGATTTGACACGGCAAGATCATGAAGTTTGATATTTAATATTAAATTCTGTGTCACGCGACTGTATGTGAAGTATCGATAGAGACTAGTTCGCTTTCTCAATGTACGTGCGATTTCTCGGTAGGTCAATTTCCGAAAATGTCGGCAGCATCTCATTAGAAAATACCGATATCTGGTATATCCGGTGAAAATCTTCTAGAGTGCAAAGGGTTAACACATCTGATACCAAGTATCGATAAGATAAGTAATTATGTCAGATATTTTTTTATATTCATACACATTTGAATAGACCCTGTCGGTATACAACAGCAGACATTAAAATATCGTACGCGGTCGGCAGGCCGCTGATTCTTCCGCGAAATCAATTATTTTCGAACTAACTGAAAATGAAACGATTCGACCACCGTGATCGGAACCGATAACGATACTTCATTACGCGTCGCGTATAATTAAGGGAACGCGTTATCTCGAAACAGGCGAGGGACAACACTTGACGGGATTCTGAAGGAGTTGGTGTGCGAAACAACAATACTTTATTAGGTAATTTCCATTAGCACCTGCAGTTGCACAGCTTCAATAATTCCTGCCGACGGATTCACGATTACAACCTCTACGGAGCGAGATATATCTTCGATACTAAAATCATCTCGAGATCGTCTGCTCCTCGAAAAATCACCGAGTCGTTCGAATCGCGGAACCGTATAAACGTTGAATAAAAAGCTATAGAAACACGGAAGAATATCAAATCTACCGGAAAGTTCTGTTCGATAACGTCGTCTCTAGTTTCACTAGGAACGAGGCCAATGAAAGAGGACATTAGTAACAATGGAGATTATATCGTTAAATATGAATAAATCTGTTGAAAACGTATTAGTTTCTTTCCATTGAAACGCGGACAGAACTTTCCGGCAGACCTAATACATCGAACGAGCTCCGCCATTCTGTTTCCTCCCGTACGCGCCGGCTGCCATGATCTGTCACGACCGATTCCGACGCGCGAGCCAATGGAAACGTTCCGGCGACGATTCTCACGCGATAAAGTGCCGTAACGCTCGTTCCGCGTGTCACGGGAATCGCTCGTGATACTTTTCGCGCCGAGTAGCGGACGAATCAAATCGCGTTATTCTCGTCGAAGCGGTGTACACACGTTTTATCTTAACGCGAAAGCGGCTCAGTTAACCCTTTGCACTCGAGAATATTTTTCTCGGCAAATATTCGTTGCTTCTTTGCGAGGTATCAATATGTTTCACGACGTAAAGAAACACCTTGTGTAAACGAAGCGACAGAACTATTTTATTTCGATGCTCCATGCGTCGATGCATTATATAAAATTTGATATTGAATTCTAAATTTGATCACTTCGCGCGGTCAAATCGAATGGCGATTGAAATAGCGCCGCTCGAGTGCAAAGGGTTAAACTTTGTCGAAAGACGACTGCCTTAAAGATACCGAAGCTTTTATTCGACAATGTTTCATGTATTTGAACTTTTATTAAGCGTAGAAAACAATTCAACAACAATATTGATATTAAATAGTAAACGAGTTTAATATTCTTATCCGAGGTTCGACTGAAAATGAAATATCGTCGATCAACTTCCGTTGATTCGCACTATGAAGTGGATATCTGAGGGACCCTACATGAATGTTCTATCGTATCGAAACTAAACCTACCCACAACCTAATAAATGCTTATCAAAATAATCACATGCAAATTACGATCACAGTATATAGAAAGCCTGCGAGCAGTATAACATTCCCTTTCGACGGTGAAAAATGTATTGTCCGACTCGTTTCATTTGATTCCACGATATATCGTTGCTATAGAAACAGGTGTATACAAAGTGCCAGCACGTTCGTTGATTAATCAATTTTCATCCGCAATTGTTCGCAACTGAAGATTACCAGGGGTTACTTACGCGAGATGCGCAACGCACGGCGTGCCGTCAGGCACGCGCTGTTGGATAGCGTGATTTCAAACTTCAGTATTACAACGTTGTTCGTATATATCTTTGATGCACCGAGCACGAACCGACGCGGAACTGTAAACACTAGAACTGCCGTACCAGTCAAAACGACCGGTCCCAATTGTTTTCTTCCGCGATTACAGATTAAAAGCATTGAACATTCGAAATGGCAATAAATAGCTTCACTCGAATACTACGAATGCCCGAAGAAACACAAAATAACCTATTGTCGCAATCTTTATTGCGGATTACATACTAATCGTGTTCAATGCTCGATAGTTCTAACGTCAAAGGAATGTAGATCGCAAGCGGTACCGCCAAATTTTCATGAGAATGTAATCGATCGCTTAGAGGAGAGTTGAAAGATAAGCGCTTGCTCGCAAACAAAAGGATTAACAGCTGTCAAAGCGACTAGCGATACCATAACGAGGTCGCGTTGTTGAACTCGTAATTCTTGTTCCTCGTGCAACACCTCGCTTCCTTCGGATCCTTGCATGTCGATGTGTCGCAATCGAAGTTCATGCCCTTCGGGCAATAACGCACCGCCCAGTCTTTGTCCCCGTTGCAAACGTAGTACATGTTACATTGGCATTCGTGGGGGTCCCGTTCGCCAGGTGTACAGCGTGGCGGTTTAGGCTCATCGCACTTCACGTTCTTCGGCAAGTCGCACATCTCCGTGTTCTTGTTGTACACAAGGCCGTCCGGGCATTTCTTCAACCTCTTTTCGCCGTTATCGCATTTCCAATACCACTCGCAGCCCTCGTCGGCTGGGAAACGCTTCTTCCCGCAATCCGTCGCGGGACAGTCGGGATTTCCGCCTTGCGGCACGCAATTCGTGTTCTTCGGCAAATCGCACGTTTGCAGGGGCTCGTTGAAGTAATGGTTCTCCAAACACTTGCCAGGCTCGATCCTGCCCTTGACGCACTCGTAGTATCGATTGCAATCGGTGAGGTGCCTTTTCTTCGACCTTGGCCAGTTCAAGCAGCCCGTCGGCGGCGAAACGGTCGTGCCACGGGTGTTGCAGATCGCGAGCGTCCACCACACGCACATCCTTTTGTACTCGTCGAACGCCCTCCCCGGTTCACAACGCCTCAGAGTCTTCTTGCCGTCCTCGCACCTGTAATATTGATAGCAGTTCGTCGGGTCGGGTATGTCGACGTTCCCGTGGGCCGGACAACCATTCGGATCCTTCGGCTTGTTGCAGTCCGCCATTTCGCTCGACACGCATTTCATCAGCTTGTGATCGAACAACTGGCCGGCTGGACACGATCTCGAGACCAGCTCGCCGCCCCTGCACTCGTAGTACAGTTGGCAATGGCATTCGTGCCAGTAACGCACCGTCTGCTGGGAGCCCGCTGGCGGACAGGTTTTTACATCGGAGCCCTTACTTTGGCAGGCCAGCTTGACCGGATCGAAGATCTTGCCCTGATCGCACTTCAGGGAAACCTTCTTCCCCTTCACGCATTGATAGTAACCAGTGTTGTCAGCCGGGTCCGCCCACGGGTGGTTGTCGGTGACCGACTTGCACTCCGGGTCTAGATGATGCTTGCAGTCGCACTTCTCCGCCGGGCCGCAGGTCTTGCTCTCCAGGTCGAAGCAGAGCTTGTTGCCGCGATCGTCCTCGTCGCAGTCGGATAGGAACTTCTTCCCCATCAGGCATTTGTAGTATTTATTGCAGTCCGACTCGTGAGGGAGCTGCACCGGTTTGTCCCAAGGATCCAACTCCGGACACTCGTTGGGAATCGCCGTGACGATCCCGGTCGCGGCGACCAGGACCAGGAATAGGATGTCTGGAATGAAACGAGAACGATAAACTGTTGCACCTTTTCGAAGTTTCCTATTTCTGTCCTTATGTCCGTCAGTTCTGTTCCTATGGTATTGTTATTTTAAATTGTCACGCGCGTCTTCCGTGTTCTTTCTTTCGTTTTCCCCTTTCCCGCCGTTCTGTATTCTGTTTGCGGATTTCTACGCTTTCGTATAGTAAAGGCTGTCCTATAACGCGCGATATCTTCGATGATAACATCATCGGATCTGTCACGATCCGATTAATAGAGAAAATGCCTCTTACCTCTCATGTCAGGTACGCACGATGCACCGCCGTGTAAATTATTTCCAACGATATATTCGGCGCAACTGGCTCACGCGCTTTCTTTTATAAGGCAGACAGCTTATCGCGCAATGACAAACGGGGTTATCATATCTGGCATTCAGCTTTTATGTCGTTACACGTCTCCCAATTTTTCCTTCCTTTCGGACTTTACACCCCGCCTGGCGACCCTATCATGCATTTGGAATGCAAGCTAGTCACGATCGCTGCGAGCAAAGTTCGGCGAAGGTGTAATCTGACTAAGCCGATGGAAATCGATCAACCGGCGTGGGCGAATTATCTTCATTACTCGGGATCCGTCATTGTTACCACTGAATCTAACACACCGGTTTACAAATCCGTAATTCACGGGACCCGGTTCCAATTAACGGGTACCAAGAGTCGAGACGTGTCCGGGGGTTTCCGTTTCCTTTCAACTACGCCGAACATTTTCGCGAAAATTCGTCGGCTTGTCGAAACATGAAAGGTAATTGTGGTTCATTGTAATCGATGAGTGTATTCCTTGGTAGACATTGAACGGCCATCATGGTTCTTAGATTACAAAACCCAGATAGCTCGATAAATTAATTGGTTTGGATTCGCAAAATTTCGCAGCGCAATCAGTACGCGATCGCAACTGAGCCGAATATGATTCGGTAGATTAACGTGTACTTCATTTCTCATTGGTAGTTGATGTTTCAAAATATGCATTGTAACCCTGTTCGATAAGATTCCAGTAAGACTTCCTTACCTTTGCGACAGTAACAATACAAAGAATCCGAGACTCCTTGACAGAACGTTTCTATCCGTCTGATCTCTCTGATACTAATGGATTCCACCTGATGAACATAATTTGCGTAATTAATCAAATGTACGTGCTGCGAGTACAATTCGACGATACTAATCGCTCGGTTATTCTATTCTGGTTTCAATATCTCTATCAATTCTATAGGAACATGTGAGACGAATCTCAATGGACGTCCGCGTGTCTGACTAAAACCGTTTAAATCTACTGACAGTGGACAGTCTCCCTTGATCACAGTGAACGACGCGTACCTCGAGATACAGGAAACGTGTCCCTGTTTATTTTCTTGTCGCAATATTAAATTTTTCTATATCATCCCTTATAGAGGTTTACCAGAATATTAAATATAATTCAACGTACGTAAATTATATTGTTCTATCATATGCCCTGAAGTGTTCATTGGCAACGCAATTGAAAATAATCTAACCATTTTTATGTAGAACTATGGCGCTCATATTTTCTGGTATTAAAATGCTTAAGAGGATTAAACGTCGCAGTTCTACGTACTGGCATTATTAATCGCAAAATAACACATTCGTCGAAATGAATAATAAGGCGATTATTCAAACGTTATGACGGAATCCGAAGTTTTGTTGAAACGAACGAATATTATCACGATTCTTAGAGATTCACGCCTGAGGAACAAACTGTGCAGAACAAATGCGCAATGTTGGTTGCATTCTGTTAGGGGCAAACACGCGTCCTTGCTTTACCGTGACGGTAACATAGGCACTGACACTACATCGATAAAACGTGTTTTTACCAAATTCTCCGTCTTAATTTGAAAATTGTCGGAAATCCTTCTCGCCGATATTTTCTTCATACAAAATGAATCTGTCGGTGGAACATGAACCCGATCAGGGCATAAACTTCTAGTAATTACAGGAGGTGCGCTGACATGGTAAAATCTTTATTGCCAAATTTTGCATCTTTACCATCGCGGAAAATCCTCCAATTGAACGTTGTTTTTATACGAAACGATGGTAAATCCTAACATTCACTCCTTCCCGTTTATCTTTGCTTATGATTCTAATTATTTTTAATGTTCGTTATTGACACCATGATTCTAATAATGCATCTAAATTCCAATTCTTGCAAACGGCGTGTGTTGGAAGTGTAATAAATAATATCGAAAGTGACTGAAAATGTAGATTCATTAAGCAGTACCTTTTAAAATGTTTCACGGAACACAAACCGTTTCTATTTAACACCGCGTATTAATAACTCTAAAATCCCAATATATGCACTATACGACATAAATTCGTAAGAAGCTAATACATAATCCGTTTGTAAGTCCGAAAGCATGACAACCGATTTACCATACTCAAAACATAGTCAGCCTCGACTGCTTTGCACAAAACAGTTTCCCTATTCGCCGTTTCGGCGTAGACGGCAGGCCTAAAAAAAATCTGTGTCGCTCCTCGATTCAACACATTTATTTACAATGTTCACCAATTTATAATTGAAACACTTGTATCGACCAACTCCTCTGACGTCTGGTTTTTAACTATTTACACAACTATTTCCGACTATTTACAAAAAGAATACCACGGACGTTAACGGAAGAATCTTGAAACCTGTAGTTAAACAATTTCAACGAACACAAATTGACTTTATCAACAGTCCACGCTCCCGACTGGCTACGAACCTCAGGTTCCCCGCGCAGTCGGTAATGCAGAACATTGTTGAAATAATATCATACTCGGTACCGTTAGTTTTCCAAAATAACAATAACAACGAACCACGCGTGATTCTAAATCCGCGATTAGATTACTGTTCGAAGCTCGATAGAACGAACTTAGCGCAGCACGATCGATTCCGACGAGTTCGCGTGGTAACGGAGGCGGCTCGTTTAATTGAGCGGTAATTTGGAATATAAATGAACGTACGATTTCGAAGTCTCGCCGAATAGAATCGGCTCGACGAAGCGTGTTATGGGCCAGACGAAAACGAAGCGGAGGAACCCGACAGCGTATAAGGAACGCGGTGATCGGTGTCTCTCGCGCTTCGACTTGATAGTTGACAAGTTAAGGAATTCAGTAAGGAAGGGGAAAATAGATTACGGTGGGGGAATAGCGGGTCGTTGGTTAATACGTAGGTAGTATTCAGTGGTGAGGCCTGCGTGCGGGCCGTGGTGAGCCAACAGGTGTTTTGGATTCGGTTTTACCAGTACCGGTTCTCTTCTGATTCTTTAGTGGTGCTCGCGCCGCTACCTTTCACTGACGAATCTGTACGTCGGCCGAATCTTTACCTGCGGATACAACTCGCCGCGAAGATACGTAATATGATGTCTGAAACCGCGGTAACAATGGACGGTTCCAGCAACAACGCCAGCAACAATCCCCGACAAGTGCCCACGATGAAGACGGAACCAGGTCAACCGAACCCTCTGGCAGGCATTACATTAAATGTACCTTACTTCAAAACTATACCGGGCATCATTAAATTAGTACAATTGGTGAGTTGGAGTAGCATAATATCCCTTACAACCGTTCCCAGTGATAACGCGGTTTCAACGTTGAACCGAGATAATGAACCGCCCTCGCGAAACTCCTCAGAAAAGAGCGCGTTTATTTCGACTTTGATTTAGAATTCAGTTCGCGCATCGTTATATGGATTTCTTTCAGAATTTCTCGGGGAAACGTGTTATCTTTGTAATAATCGAGAAGGAATCAGGTTATTTCCGTCTGGTAGTTGTATCGTTAATCGTGCGGTAAGTCCCTTTGGAATATTATGGACAACACTTCGTGACTTCGTGATAAATTTCAGGCGCTGGGAATAATTAGCATTACGTAAGCGCCGCGTTGTCTCTCTAATTAAATCTTGACAGTCCGTCTTTCTGGGAAGTATATATTAGTATTCGTAGTAACGCACCGAACCCGCTCCCGATGTACGAGTACTCGTCCCGCGCGGTGTCATATGTCGTATTAGATTTTGGCACTCGTTCATTGTTCTTGGCGCTAAGAGCCTCCCTCGGTGTCTTTCATGCGGCATTGTTATTTTAAACGCGCCTTTTCGGAGCGCTCATGATTTTCCGGGCTAAGGGGCTTCGTTACGAGTGCCCCGGGTTTTCCTTCGACGGATACCATTATCCGTTGGTAACCGCTCGACTCGTCCTCCGCGACGAAACAGGCTCGCGGAATTACAGATTGTACGGTTTGCATCGTGACGTTGAACCTGCTTGCAACGGCATAACCGCGTAACGGTAATCCCCTCGCGGAACTGTTGAAAATGTGTCCCTAAGGCGCGCAGGGGACAGCTTCCAAATACCAGCCGACCGTCGATTCCCGAGGCGCCTGAATATTCCCGTCGAGTCCGATTTTAAACGACCGTTCACGGTTCCTCGGAAGTTTCCACAACGTTCCCCCTCGAAATCGTAGATACCGTTAGGCGATCAGCATCGGTAAGCATCGTTTCTCTCTGGTTCACGCACGTGCAGCCAGAGACACGCCCGGTTACGTTTTCTCGTTCCGTCGCCGCGAATAAACCGGTGATTACTTTCGATCGATAGAGCCGAGTAAAAGCGTACGTATCGATTCGGCTAGACCTCACCTATGGAAGAGGCATCACCTTGGTCGCTCTCGAATCGGCGAGAACGATACCCGCGAAGTGTATCCTTCCCAATCGTCGCCGGATCGATCGATTCCCTGAGAACAGAAACGGCACGAGGACGATAAAACGGAATTCGGTGAGACCGCGCGGAGGAAGCCGACCTTCGCGTAGCGGTCTCTCGCCGGGCAAAAATAGGAAAATGGATGCGTGACCAATCCCAATGGTGACTTTGCAACAGGCCGATTAAATTACCCGCAGATGGAAATCAAATACGCCACGCTGTTATTTCATGAGCGTTCCGTTGTCCTCGGGACACGTTCGACGTAAACTGTACATTAGCGGCGGTGTATTTGTACGTTGCGCGATGAACGCCGTGGATCCTCTTCAATTATCGTGCCGCGATCTTTCCGCGTTAATTAATTCGCGAAACAAACCTCGGGCTCGTCGAAATTTTCCTGTTACACATCGGCCGTGCATCGATGATACCGAAAAACCGGTTCCCGGCGAAGACGGTCAGGCTCGCGCGACGAATACAAAGAGAAAAAGAGCACAGCTGAAACGATTCACGATGTCGGTGACATAGTTTCGATGCTATCGGACAGATCTTCCTATGAGCTAGACACGTTCGATGCCCGTATATGTTCATCCCGATGACCGGGACCATACGTGGCGTCCCACATACTCGGAGTTCCATCCTACTGTCATACGGCGAGGCCGTGGCCGCGGCAACGGTATCGAAACAACTCATTAAGAATTCAAGGTGTCCTTGACCTCCCTCCAATGATTTTCAACCTGCCATGCCCAATTTACCGCTAATCGCGTATCCACCGCGTGCACGTCGATTTTAATGCTTCAACCGTGGCTTCGTTTCGGCCGGCGTTTCAGATAGCATCGTTCCTTATCGTTCTTATCTCAGTTTCAAAGGCTGCGCCCGGTGCTATGCAAATCGAACGATTCGAAGTTCACCGCGCAACAATCGACGACGAGATTCACGGCGGAATTGCGTCCAGGCTGGACAAGAAGCGGCACGATAATCCGGTTAGCATAATAGAAATGCTGTGTATCGCGTCTGTCGCGCGTCATATTTATTCCCGGCTGCGTACGTGTGCGTTGAAACCGCGCGCTGGTTTAGTCTTACGTTAGGTGCCATTACACGCGAACATTTTTCATGGTCACCGATGCTCTATAGGCATCCGCGGTGTCCCCGGGTGTTCGCGAAGCATTTCTCGAACGCGAACGCGCAGGCGACCGTTCGGCCGAACGCCGATAAACGAAGGTGCACCTTCACCGCACCCCTTTTCCTGGTTGGTCAGGAAGTCGACTCATGCCCGTCCGGTTTTCTAAACGGTACCACCTTCGCGGCCGGAAGTACTCTTGCAGATTCGACCGATCTTAACGACTCCGGTTGCGTTAATTCGCGCGGCGATCGCGTACGTGAGCAGGATGCGCTGAACTTTTTCGTCCGGGCGATCTAGACACGCGTGCTCTTCGGTTAACAATGACCTGCTAACGCGTTCGGTGCCGTACCACGTATGGTACACGTTTTTGTAAAATACTTTTAACGCTAGAACCGCCGAGTGGAATGACTCATTCCTGATTTCCGCGATTGTCAGAAACAGCAGATGCTTTTCTGGAAGTTATTAGGGAAGTTGAATTATGAATCAGTTAGAGTCCCGATAGATGCACTCTTGGAGCTGCTATAGAGAAATCTCAGAAGGCTTTTTATATACGTTACAAAGCGACAACATAAGGAAACAATAGGAAAATGTACAAAAACTACCAGAAACTCGAACATAACTTAATGTTCCATTTAAACAATCAATACAGTTCGCAAGTGAAATACGATCGAAACTTCCGTGGCAGGGTGCGCAACCGTCAGTGAAAAACGCGTGGGAAATTCGCGCAGTTTGCCGATCGGTATGTTTGCCGAAAACGTGTCTCCTTAGGCGGATGACGTAAGAAGGTATCCAAATAAGTTTATCGCGTGCAGCTCATTCCTTAAACTATTCGACGGGGTGCTGCTCGATACATTCGGAATGCCTCGCGAGGCGTGTCCGCGTGAAACGGACTGTTTCTACTCGGAAGATCGGCTACTCCGGCCGCAAGTTTTCCCCGGCTACGCCGGACGAAACGAGCGGCCCGAGGGATTGCACAATGGCGATTATTACGAACGTTCCTCGAGTCGTTGTGCCATGCGTTCCTATGGTGTGTAGGCTGGCCGCGAAGCATATCGGCTGGTGCAACAAGTTATGCACCGCAGTTAATTGCACGCCAGTACTTTATACGCAAGGACAAACCGCGCCTCGCGGTGCAGGCCGACGCCGGCATTTTCTAGCCGTTACTTTCCAGTCAAGAGAGCCGCCTATCCATTTTTCCCCGAGATAACGCCGAGCCGCCGATACTCTCGCGATAACGCGCAGCGTTTCCTGAAAAGCGCAGTATCTGCGAGCAAGTTCCACTCTTACTGGTTCACCTTTGCCTCTCCCCGGGCCTCTGATCATCGCGGAATGACGCAAACCGCTGCAGAAGGAAATTACGCGGGACACATATATAAAATGCATAATCCGTTCATGAATGGCGTACGGGCCGCGTCACGTCGCTTCGCGGACGCGAACAATAATACGCGTGATTCACGAGGAACGTCCCCGGCCGGCGGCTAACGAAACAGACGAATAATTTCTGCGCTACGCCACTGTCGTAAGAATACCCGGCGCGACAAGGGAGACCTGTGCGCGTGCACACGCACGCGCCGATACACCTGCGCCGAAGGTAAACGGTGCGACGTTACGCTGTCGCGTGTGTTCGCGCACGAACACAATCGAAAGCGCGCCGACGCGAAATCCGTAGCCTTATTTAATGCGATTTGAATTGCTAATTGCGAGACTATTTCTATAATCGGCGCATATTTCACCGCGATCGTACGAGCGCGATACCGCGCGTCGCTTCGGTCGAACCGTAAATCTCGGAATTGCAGAAATTGATTCGCAGATAAAACGCGGCAGCTCCTTCGGAAAAAAGGCAGATTTCGTCACGCCGGGAGCTAGCGTGAATCCTGCCGGTTGGCTAATTATCTTCGAACGCTTGCCGAACGATTTACGCGAGCGTATCGGTATCGTCAGCCTATCGCTCCCCTTTATGATCCGCGATTTCCGGCGCTCTCGTTTTCGTTCCCGTTCTCGTTATCGGCGATAAACAGTCGAATGTTTACTTCGCTCAACTTTGTCGAGTTCTGCACGCTCGACGCCGAGGAGGATCAGGTCGGCAGATAAAGGGGGAATGATTACAAATACTTTATTTTCGGAATGTTCAGATAAAGTCGGACGCGAGTCATCGCTGTTTTAGGAACGTTCTTACGTCACCGGTACGATTGTACCGTGTATCGTCGATCGGCATTTCAAGTAATCGCGAGTATTAGATTTCTTTCGAATCGCGAGGCTTTGTACGCGATATTCGGAGAACGGATGTTGATCGTTCAATGAAGAAGCGGGCTTAAATCGCGCGACGTTCGCCTTATCGGGTCTCGTTAATCAGTCGGTTAATCGGTTAATCAATTGAATAAGCAACGAACGCCACGAAAACGGTCTTAACTGCATAAGTATCGGCGTAGGTTGTAACCGGTAGCCACTTAGTAACCGCGTACAAATGTGGCGCATGTGGGTCGTCGCAACGTTTCTCCTCAAGTCACGTTTTATCTCTTCTCAGTATTCAAGTGTTTTAGTAATCCTCAGCGTCTACCATCTGAGCGGTTTCCTTTACGCGGATCTGCATCTTGGCTTCGGTTACCGATGATAGCGACGCGAGGACTACCGTCTTCACCGCGAGAAACCTCCTCGAACGCATACGTTAACACCGGATTTACGGAAACGTCAATGCGACGGATGCTGCACGTTCGAAACATTATTTAGCAACAGTTTCAGTCGACGTTGACTCGTAACTGTACGAATACGCGATACTCTAGTTTCGAAGATACAATTTTCGCAACTTACCCAGACGAGCACTCAGTTTCCTAGGAACGGTAGAAGTGTAGAATGAACACTTTATTCTATTGTTCCTGGAGAACTACATGCTCGTCTACATTAATCGCGAAAATTCTAGCCTCAACATCAGAGCACCCAACGCGTGTTCGCATAATTGAATCGGAATCGACTGTTACTGAATAATGTTTAACCCTTTGCACTCCAAAAGTGCACCGGAAATATTCAATATTTTCTAACGGGGTACAGACATTTCCTTAGATTGAACTAAGAAATCTCACGTGCATTCAGGAAGAGAACTACTATCTTTTAATATTTCGTATATTGGTACATTATACGAAGTTTAATATTAAATATCAAAGTTTACAGTTTTGCTGTCAAATCATTTGGCGACTTAGAGGCGCCTCTGGAGTGCGAAGGGTTAAAAGGTTCAATATCCGTGAAATCGACGCGTTCCGTAAATCCAGCGTGAAATGGAAACGATCGTGTCGATATTCGGATAACGTTCCCATTCTCCGCGACACGCAGGTGACACGAGAGATCCGACGCGGCGGTGATTGCTCCGGAATACGGGCCACTGTGTCGTTTCCGTTTTATTCGTTCGTTCTCCCCTTCGACTCGTTAAACAAATTCGCCCGACCCTTGACGATATTATCTGGGAATCTGTTTCGCAGGGTGTTCCCATTAACGTCTGCGCCCGTCCGTCAAACGCTATGGGCGAACCGTGGACTCGGTAAACTCGGAATCCGAACGGCTCTCGCTAATTTTAGACGCCGTTCTGTTTCCTCGAGAATCCCACCGGTCATCGATATTGTCGCGTGGACGGCGAACATGGAATTCGAGACGCCTCGACGAACGAATATCCAACGAATTAGCGATTTAATTGACACAATTCCGTCGCGTTTCGCTCGGCCGCTCATCAGTTTCACATTCACGGGACGAATAGGATCAAGACCTTCCTGTCCGCCGCTGTTGTCGCGTTCTTTAATCAGATGCACGCTCGACGCGCGTATTAAATCGTTTATTGAAATTGCCGCGCTGCGCTGGCCAGACACGCTCGCACCGTGTGTCCCCCCACCCATGAATAATAATGTTGAACCGCGGCCTATATTTCCGAGCCGGTATTTACCATTTGCTAAGTTATTTCGAGAACCTCCGTTATTTCGCTTCACACGAATCAAACGGACGGCATGGATATTCCGTCGACGGTTTCATCGAGCGACGCGACTCCGTTGGAACCGATTTTACTACGCCGGGAGGGAGAGATCTTTTTCTTATCGGTTTCTTTATTCGTCGTCGATTTATGCATTCGCGAGGTGACGTTGTTCGCGCCTCGTCGAGCCGTTCTCGAAAGGTCGGCGAATGAGCTATCCGCACGCGAGAAAACGAACAACCGGAAACGAACATTTCTAAAGTCCGCCGCGAGGTAGGCCGATGATTAAATTCTTTCGTGCCCGAGTCGCGTCACCGGCACCGTTACGAGTATTAATAACTTCCACGGCCCCGCGAGAAAGCTATAAAACATTAGGTGTTCTCGGCTGAACGTTTAAACCCTCGACCGACGGCGTTTTCGATCGGTGAAAGTAGAATTCTTCCTTCGCTGCACGGTTCCAGCGTTCCGATCCTTCGCACTTTCGCGCCCATTCACCCCTCCATGCATTCCTATCTCCTGTACGATACAATTAGCTGCACACGTGCGCTCATACGTGCATAAAGCGTAAGAAATGTTTCTAACACCGGGTTTACGGGCGTTTATCGTTTATTCTATTATTCCCAGAAGAATTGATGTTCGCTCGACGCAAACCGCTGCAGAAGGAAATTATGCGGAACGCGTATAAAATACAATTAGCTGCACGCGCGCGTTCGTACGTGCATAACGCGTAAGAAATGCTTCTCTTAACGCCAGGTTTACGGGCGTTTATCGTTTATTCTATTATTCCTAGAAGAATTGATGTTCGCTCGTTTATTTCAGAGAAATTGGGAGTTTGAGGAAAAGTTACTAGGATGTACTAGGATTACTAGGTTCGCCAGGTGATATAAAATTCTACGCCGATTTCTCGTGTTCCGAGAGTCAGTTAACAGCAGAGATAGGCTCCGGTATAAACGTACGAAAGGCGAACGTCGAAGTATTTTACGCACGAAAAGCGAGCGTCCAGTGAAACATAACCGTTTCCAGGGTGCAGGAAAGTTTGGTCGATGCTCGCGTACGGTCGCGTCAGTCGCGCGGCAGCAGTCGGTGGCGGGAGGGAACACGTAATGCCGAGGAAAAGGGTGAAGTGTCCGCTAGGTTGGACGCTGCTCGCCGAAAATATCGACGATGTAGAACGCGTGAAGCTCGATCTCGAGACGCAACGGGAACTGGGTTGTGTGGTCGGAGAGCACGTGTTCCTGGAATACCCATGGGCGTACGTGGACAGAGATATCGTCGCGAGGTCCGCCAAGTCGGCGACGTCTCCGCTGCTGGTGTTCAGGGATAAAATCGAAGCTTACCAAGCTGACACGTTCCTCCTCGGCTACGCCTCGGATCGGCTGGTCTCCCGAGATTTCGTCATCTGTCTTACCGAACAAGCGAGGCGCGTAGTCGCGGAGCGAAACAGAAACATCGCGCGAGCTATCTCGACCAGAGTCGAAGGTAAGATAAGGAAAACCGCGAACGCGCGGAGGTCGTCGATCGACGTATCGGAGAGCGCCGAGACCTCGAAGGATACGAGGGGATTGTTCGAAATAGAAATCGTGCTGCCCGGAGGAGCGTTAGGCGCTGCCCGAGAGCTGGGCGACAGAGATTCGGATGGTTGCAGGGACAGCTACGCGCAGCTAGTGAACGCGAGCGAGGAATTCCGGAGGATCGAGAGGAGATGCGTCTGCCGATCGGTGCAAACGCATTTGCCGCCGCGCGAGGCTTACGTCCAAACGTATCGCGGCTATCCGAAGAACGCTTGGACGCAGTACGACGAGGACGCGTTCGACGGGGAACCCGCCGAGCGGAGTCTCGACGATGGCGTCGAGTCGAGGACAGAATCGGAACGCAACGACGACGAACGGTCCAAAGGGAGGAGCGACGTTCATAGCGCGGTAAGCGACGAGGAGCCTAGGGAGAAGACACCGTTGGATTTATTTCTAGAGGCTCGCTCGCCGGAGACAATGGACGTCGTAAAATACAACGCGGCCGTTAACTTGCACGTAGACGACATACAGAATTTGTCTCGGCGCGGGGAACTTCGCGTTCGAAGCATCGCGCGGATTACGCCGGCTTTTCGCGAGCTGTTGTCCTTTGCCGACTTCAATCTTACGGCGAGTAAAATGGTCGCCGACGTCTCGTTGCACCCCGTGTCAACGGAGTGCGCAGTGATTTCTTATGTCAGCGGTTCGACCGAGTCCCTCTCGTTAACGAATTGCACGGGTTCCGATCGGGATTTACAGTCCAGCGTACTCGTTTGGAAATTCGAGGATCCTTTGCTCCCCTGGCTCCAACTGCAGCACTGCAGAGAAATTTGCTGCGTCTCGTTTTGCCCTCACGATGGTAACATTGTGATCGGAGGTTGTTCTGCCGGGCAAGTGATCGTTTGGGATCTGAAGCGTTACTTGGACGACGATGAAAGGTTCTCTAAGTCTAGAGGAAACCCAGCGATGGTTCCCGCCTCGATTATCTCGGACGAACGTTGCTCCCATCGCGTTGCCGTTCGAAGGATCGAATGGATGCCTGCCAACTACGAAACAGAATCGACTAGAAAGTCGAGGGACTTCGCGGAAGTGCAATTTCTAACTGCTTCGGAGGACGGCGCGATAGCAGTCTGGAGTCTTCCCTCTTTATCGAGCTCGTTGAGAACCGAGCGCACGGATGACAATGCTGACGCTCCTTTCGAACCGATCTATCGATTCGCAATCCCCGGCGAGGAGTCGCGGAGGATTACTTTGTTGTCGTCGTGTCTTTCGTCCGTCGAAGTATCTCGGGAACGCGACGAAAGTCAACAGGAAACTTACGAGCCGAGCGCGAAGGGGACCTATCGCGCCAAGTGCCTGTGGATTGGTTGCGCGGACGCATTGATAAAGTGCGTGTGGGACGAGCAGATGGCCGACGCGGAAACGTCGAACGTCGCCCAGTGCGAGCTTTGGAATCGGTCTTATGCGCACAACGGTCCCGTTACGGACATCCAGCGATCCCCTCACCTCCGGGACGTTCTTCTGACAATCGGCGGACACGTTTTCGCAATTTGGAAGGACGATTATCTGGATTCCCCATTATTTTGGCGGAGGACCGGTTGCCGGTACACAGCCTGCTGCTGGGCCAGCGAACCCGGCGTTTTTCTGCTCGGTAATCGGCGTGGCGAACTCGAACTGTGGGACATAAGGAACGAGTCGAACCGACCGGCCCTCTCCCAGATCGTCTCCGTGGCGCCCGTCGTTCGGCTGATCCCGATGGATCGCGTCGTCGCCGGCGAACGCGTCAAGACGGTCGGCGTAGGCGACGAGTCTGGATTCTTCCGGGAATACAGGCAGCTCGGGACCGATCGCGCCGACGAAACGATCGAGAGAATGGACTGGTTCAGAGAATACGTGTCGAGAGAGGCGCAGAGGAAGAAGGTATTCGCTGATTGGCAGAACGAGTTCCTCGCGAACGATCCGTCCGTTGTCGCGAAGATATCGGCCAGATGCGACGCGGAACGGAGGAAGGAGTTCGAGGAAGCGAGGGCAAGGCTTCGGAGGGAGGACGAAGACCGGTCGAAGTCGAGAGCGGAGAAGCGCGTCCGCGGCGCCTCGAAATCGGCGGACGTCGCTTGGAAATTGAAGGAATACCAGAGGACGAAGGCTGTTCTGCTGAAGAAAAAGAATTTGGACCCGATCGATCTGGAGGCGAAGAGGCTTCCCCTCGTCGTTTCGAGCGCGGAGAGGAACGCGAAGCTGAAGAAAGCCCAGGAAACCGTTCGCCGTCGAGAGGCGTGCTTCTCGGACGCGTTATCCGTAGAATTTCCCGAGCGACTCGAATCGAAGAGCGAGAGATCGGAGATCGGAGAAGCGGCGACGCGTCTTGTCAGATCTGTCGACGAATACTTGACAGAATTCGACGAGCTACGGGACGAAATTTGTCGGAAATTTACGAAAGACTCTCGATCGACGTGAAACGGCGAAACGATAGGGGTACGAGGGAAGAGTAGCCTTGTCATTCGTCTACCAGTGAACCTGTACCGAATGGTATTCGACGATTCGAGCTATTGGATCGCTGACAATCGTATTTGTGACTGTTACAGGTTCTTGGGATAATATGCATGGCATGCGCATCACCGGCGAAAGTGTCCGCCACCCACTGGTTTCTGTTTGTCGTCGTTACAGCCTTCATCTCCAGCGTTCTGTGGTGTTTCATTTACTTCTTGTCGATCCGGGAGGCACTTAAACTACCGATCAACTGGATCTTGTCGGTAAGTGAACGCGAAGATTGCTAGTCGGTTAGCTCTTATCATTGACGATACAATATACCTGTATCCGTAACACCATTCGTCGCTTGCAGGAACTTCTGAATACGGCGGTGTTCACCTTTCTGTACTTGATTGGCTTCATTGCCCAGCTGTCTCACTGGAGTGCGTTGCACGGTAATCTCGTATCGTCGAATATCGCCGCCGGGGTAAGGGAAATTCGTTTTGCCCGTAAAATTATCCGTTTGTCCGTCTAACAAGGAAAAGGCCAGATAAACATCTGTCTTCGAATGACACTCTCTGCATGTATAGTAGATATCTAGAAGTGAAAAACACTTTTTCGATAGAGGTCTTCCATTTTCGAGAACTAAGTTTCAAGTTTTGCACGTTACTATACAAGATGATTAGAAGAATCCTACTACAACGAGGTGTATCCGGCTATGGCGCTGCCGGTAACTTCCGAATCTCCATGCTTGGAACTCTGTTTCTCCTCCATCTTCCTGTTTCCCTTCGAATTCTGATCTCCAAATATCTTGTATTTTATTATTACAATAAATTATTATTATTTGCCGTCTTATTACACTAACATGCGAACTCAAAGCTCATTTTCCCCGAAAACGGAGGACCGTTGTGAAAAAAGCCACCAGAGTTTCTCATTTCTAGATATGCACTATAATCCGTAGAGCCTCATCAAAGGAAACGGATTTTCATGTCGAGCCCTCTCCTCGTAGTTTCCAATTACCGTTACGCTACCCTCGAGCACCGTGATAATTGTTCGGTCGTTGCGCCAACAGGTATTCGGAATCTTCAACACGATCGCTTACGCCGCAGGAGCGTACTTCTTGTTCGTCGAATGGAAGAGCAACTCCACGCAGTGAAGAGGACCGAAGGTACTCGAAGAGACATCAAGGTACCTGAAGAGCACCTACGGTCAGACTACTACACCGCGGATCTATATCCGGTCCTGCGTTCCACGATTCGTCAACAGCAAGGACACGGTCTCCGGAAATGACACGGAATACCATAGAACTCGCCGATATCGACGGGTCGAAGCTAGTCCAACGAGGAGACCCTTTTCAAATCGAGTGTCGTAGTTTAACCAGAGACTCTGTAACCCATGTGCCTTAAGGATAGTTCGCTCGACTACGCGTTTCGATGATCGCCCTCGTCGCTGCGTCGAAAACACGAAGGGGAAGAGTAGTATTCCGAACGATCGCGGGCGCGATCATCGATCGCAAAGACGTATGTACAATTAAGAAGAACTCTGCGCCAGCCCAGGACGGGTTATCGCGTCGACGGGATGTCCGCGTGGTAATCGGCTTATCGTCACGTCGCGTACATCTCGTGGCATCTCGTCACCGCGTGATTCAACGGCTTTCTCGATGGGAACAGTTGTAATTAGAGGGAATATTTGTAGCGGCTGTCTCGCAATAATCGCGCCACGAGTTCGATAATGTCCATATTGGATAGACGAATCCTCGCGGCTGATTCTCGCGAACGACAAAACTTACAAAACGAGTAAATACACGCTCTTCTCTCGTTGTTTGCTAACGTATACAGCGCGTGCGCCACGCTCCCGTCCAGTTCACTTTTCTAACTGCGTACCTTTTTCACACTGTCGCGAATTTTTATTTATATGTATACACAAATTATATCTATATACATGCATATATGCGTATACCTATACAGATACAGATACAGATACATCGTACACGTGCATATACATATACATATATATACATGTACATTTATATTTTCTATCACTCACACGCAATGGGGCACCTGTGTAATTCCACGTTCGGCGATGCATACGTAAAACAAGGCAAAATTCGATACGAGGCAAATGAAACTATGCGAGTATCTACATTGTATTCTCTTCTGTGTACACATTACCATTGAAATACACAATCGTTTTTAACATTGTTGTCGATACTCATGTTTCGTAACCAAATGTTACGTTGAACGGGATAGACGCGACTGTTTGGACGGTTTTTCGAGACAACTGTGCTGTCTCCGTGGGGTCGTACCGATCATTTCAATGATCTTCGAACGTAAACGATGTTAACCCTTTGAACTCCAGCGGCGCTTCAGTCGGAAATCGATTTGACACAGGAAAATTGGAAAATTTCATATTTAACACGTTGAACGCCGCACGATTTCACGGAGCAAAATACACAAAATGGAAAAAATATAATATCAAATCATTTCATTGAATTGCATTATTATTATTACATGTTCATCTAGCTGAATGTCACTGCATTATGCAGTATTATTTATAATATAGAAATGTTTTCAAATAATCAACGTTTCATTGAATAACGTGTTAATATTAAATTTTTTGTCGTTCATCTATCTGCCAAGTATTCGGATAAAACAGTTTCGTTCCTCGATTGTGTGATTTCTGGTGAAACTAGTTTCAGAAAATGTCACTTATATCTCACTAAAAAATGTTGACTACCTCCAGTGAAATTCTTCTCGAGTACAAAGGGTTAAGATCTCAAGAAGCGTTAAGAATCCCCAGGATTTGTCTCAATCGTTAACTATGCGGATGCACGAGAAATAAAAACATATGTTATCGACCGAGTTGACGTTTACTTCTTTATAGCAGTCAATTCTATCGAGTATTAACCCTTTGCACTCTGACGTTTCTCACTATAAACATTCTCACATTTTCTGACGAGACAAAGACGATATTTTGCGAAACTAACTCGAAGAGAAATCACATTCGGGAACGAAGTTATTTTATTTCAATATTTCTCGAATTGATATTATACGAAGTATAACATTAACCCTTTGCACTCGAGGGCTCCGTTGCAGAGCCGTTTAAAATTTGTCATCGCGAACTGTACAATTCTGTCATTAAATATATTATAACATTTATATCTATAATCGATAGAAAACAGTAAGACACATCTATGTCTTTTCTTTCCATGCGCGTGTTATTAATTTATATGTTAATACGCTTTTTCTATTAAAATTCCTTCGAGGTGCTGGTAACGTCAGTGAGAAACAGCTTCGAGTGCGAAGAGTTAAATATCAAGTGTTACAGTTGTACTGTAGGAAATCAAGCGGCGAGTGACAGCTGCGAACGGTTAATTTCCCTTCGGAATGACTACCCAGCTGTTTTGCATCGCGAGAAGTCGACGATACCTATCCAAAATTCGCGTAGACTATACATTGCAGATCGTAGGACGTCTTTCCTCCAAAACTTCCGTTCGCTTATGATATCACCAGTGACGTCATCGGCGGTACCGCAGCGGTACCGTCAGCGTGCACTTCAGTCAACCACAGACGCTCGCCGCGTAACCATCTACCTTATTAAGGTCAGTTTAAGCGTCGAATACACTTTCCCGGCTCAGTGTCCAATCGTTCGCCGTACACCACCAGTAAAATCAACAATTGCCCGGTACACGAGACCATTTCCATCGAACCGGTCGTTTCTCTGGCGAGTTTCTCCTTCGATCGAGCCTCGAGCTGAACTCTATTCCATCTAAATTCAATGGAGAAAAAGTCTGTTCCGTTGTATCGCGGCGTACGCGATTGCCGTCGATTATTACCGAGAAAAGTGACGTATTCCGCGATAATAACGATCGATAGGAGACGTTGAACGAATATCAACAGGTCACGCGTTTCCATTGCGACCGGTTACTTCACTCGATGCTTCCTCCCGCGAGTGTAGGTGTTCCATACGAAAATAACCGGTGACTGTACTTCGCGCGTGTTTACCGAACGCCGCGCTAATTCGGGGTATGCTCGCGATACAGGATCGAGTAGGAGATTATTTGCGCGCACTATCGGCAGTTCGCCAGTGTCATTATCGTTTCTCGAGTAGCCGATTCCCAAGATTGTTCATTGACGGCCGCGCTCCGCCTCCGCGCATTCGATCCCCGCCGTGATAGAAGGGGAAAGCAATTTCACGCGTTATCGATCCGCCGGAAGCTTCAAGGGTGCGCCCCGATATCAATGGAACGAAAGGGAAAGCGCGACGTAGATTCTCTCCGTGCGTACTGCTCATCGGTCAAGTGCGCGTTAAAACCCGATACGTTGAATTTCTGTCGGACGTTACCGACGCGACGGGCGGACGCGTTAAAAGTAGAAAAACGCGCGGACGAACGAAACATGAGACAGCACGCTATTCTTGGGTATGTCGGAAAAGGGAAGAAGAGGAGGGTCGACGGGAAATGTAGGCCGCGCCTCGAAACATCAGCCTTGGCCCTGTTACTCCCCGCGAAGTACTCGCGCGCACGTCCTGGAGTCGGCGGCTCCGAATCGTTTGACACGCTGCTCTGAAATTTCAGAATCGGCAACGAAGGGAACGACAATGTCGCACTCGGTAACCATCAGGACGCAAACCGTGTCGAGCAGCTCCACGGCGTTTATCATCAACAGCGGCTACATGAAAACATGGAGCGGCGCAGTAAAATTGTTGCAGTTGGTAAGTTTTCTTTCGCACGCCGTTCGTATACGTTGAGTAACGGATGCGTTAGAGAAGTGGTAAAAGAGTCTCGCGATTTAACCCTTTGCACTCGAAAGTTTCTCGATGGAAATATTTTCTGACGAGATACAAGTCGTATCGTTTGAAACTAATTTAACGATGATTCGTAGATAAATTAAGCGACAGAGGTGTTTTATTTAAATATCTCACGTAGCGATGCAAACTTTAATTTGAAATATTAAATATTCAACTTCATGGTTTTGTTGTGTCGAATCACGTGGTGACTGTCACCTCTCGAGTGCAAAGGGTTAACCATACGATCGGCGCATTCTTTCGGTGACAGTAGCAATCGATCGAAGCAAATATGTATATTTTCAAAGTTATTTCCCTATAGGTGGTTTATAATAAATATATTCGAAATTTGTTAGTTAATGTGTTCTGTAGAATGTAAATTCTGCAATGAATAATGAAAAATAGAGTATGTTGCCACTTTCGCTTTCAGATTAGAACGTTCGCCCGTTTAAGTGGCGAACTTAATCTCGTTCGTTAATTAATCTCTGGATGCTTGTTTCAGGTCCTAGGCATCGTGTGCGTGTCGATAATTGGCCATCAGTTCACCATGTACCAGTATTTCGTTACTGCTGACTTATTTTTCCTCCTAATAACGACAGCGTTCCTAATCGGTACAGGCATCTTGCTGATAAGCTGTTTAACATCCCATTCCACGGCCACCATTATCGCGAAAACCATCTATGTAAGCAATAGATTCTTTCCAACGTTCGAAACATTCGAATCTATCCGACGTTAACGATCGCATCTCTGTCGTAGGAACTGATATACCATTCTATAGCGTTCGGACTGTACCTGTCTGCATCGTTGACGTTCCTGGTGAACGTTACCAATAGGAACTCCAGGGGAAACGAGGTTTTAATGGCCGGAGCGGTAAGAAGAACGAAATCGCTCCGTTCTCCTCGAACGTCGGGCGAAATTCGCCCCGAACCAGATATTAAACTACTCCATTTTTAGATCTGCGGTTTGGTGAACTCGGCGCTATACTTCCTCAGCACGATCATCGCCGTGCGCTTGTACAAAGGACACTGATGATGCGCAGCGTTCGCTTTCATCGGACGACTTCGGATCTCCGCGTCATTTCGAACCGTATTTTCGAGCTATTTCTCGTCGAAACTTCGTCCACCTTCGACAGAACTCTTCGTACTGTTTTATATGTACATACTTGAAAACTTCGTTCCGATCCCAGGCGAATCTCCGAACTTTCTAAAACCGTGTTACGTCAACGCAGGATATTCGCCGTGTACTGAAAGCCACGAAACAAATGTACAAAAGTTGTAACCATATTCATCCACGATCGAATGATAGATACGCGCAGACTTTTCACCGCGTGTCCGAATAATCCGCGCAAAAGGCCTTATCGACGGGCGTTTGGTACTTCTATACATACTCTTTTCTATTTATATACATTGTATACAAACGTACGTGTAATGTGCGTATATATATATATACACACGATACGCACAGCTGACGTTCGTGATGAACTGTTTACCGAAATAAACTTTACCAGTGAAAGTTCCAACGAAAATCCCGCTTGCATTCGACGCGTCGCGACAAAGCAACGACCTAATTAACAGTCCGCGAAATTGGCTCGTTACGTCGATAAAAATGCGGCTTTCTTTCCCGCACTGTGGCCATCGACAGGACGCGGACTCGCACGTAACCGCGTATGCGGGACGGGTTTCAATAAAGCTCCACAAGAACAGAGAGAGAAGGAGGACAGGATACTGCGGTTGGCGCGCAACGTAAGCAATGAAATTATGTAGCCGAATAGGAACGAACGCGCGCGTCACACGAGCATGTAGGAAATTAACGACTTTTCATCGCGACCGAGCAAATCGTCACCCGATCGGGATCGTTGAACAGCCCTCCGCCGTCGGCGTCCTTACTACATCGCTAAGAAGCGAATGCGATTCGATCGAGAGAATTGAGGAAATTAATGTTTCGCGTTCTGAAACTATTATGCTACATATTCAGAAGCTATATAAAGTGCTTTCTGACATAGAACAAGTCCTTTAACACTAGACCTACCATACCAGTCAGAATGACTGGTTTTGATCTTGTTTCGTAATTATTAACATCTTAAAAGCATTCAATAATTGAAATGATCTTGAAAATAGTTTCATTTGAATACTATAATGAATGTCTAAAAAAACTGACAATCTATTGTTACAATTTTTATATGGATTACATATTAATCGTATTAAATTCTCGGTAGTTCTAGTGTTAATAACTAGAAAGAATATCACGTATTCCATTAAAATCTACAGAAATCAGATATGAAGAAATGGACCGCATTGGCTTCTGATCGACTCATATGTAGGTACTTGAAGATCGTTTGAATTCCTAGGCTGAGGAATCCGGCTGATCGATCAGTTTTCATTGTTTCCTTCCGTTTTCTTAATCTCTAATATTTTCATGCGCCTTCCATTCGTCGATATGGTTACAAGTAACCGATCGAAACTACGAAGCTGCAAACTAGGACACCTCTGGTTGCGCTAGAAATCAAGAGACCTCTCGACAGTACCTATGCCCGTTTCGTTCGGATCTCTTTTTCGTCGCGTTTCCTGCGCAGCAGCCGGTTCAATGTATGTTGTGGCGCGGCACGTGCCAGAAATAGAAGTCCGTATCCCTCGCGTGGAATCCAACGCGGGGGGTGGTGTCGCGGAGTTTGAACTTTCAGAATGAACTGGTAAGTCACCCTCAGTTTGCTGGAAAACCGTCGGCCGGTCGGTTCGCGGCTCCCCGTCAATCGAGGAATAAGCGGCGGCTCGCCGTCGAAGCGATAATCCGTGGCTCGAACGCGATAGAAATCACCGGGTCGATTCATTGTCTGCCGCGCAGCGATACGAATTAATCGCCGTTTAACCAATTAGGGCCGCCGAATCAATGATCCGGGTGTAGACGAGACGAGGTTCAACGAACTTATCAATTGCGCGGACCCCCGACGGATACTTTCGCGGAATCGCGACACGAGCCCGGCGACGTGGACGAGATTCGCCGTCGGGGCGAAAAAAATCGCGTCGGGACAGCCGGATTCTCGCGGCGCGGCCGTGAAACCGATCGCCGAGCGGAGGAACATGGGCCGAAACGGAGCTGGGCCGATAATCAGGATGTCGTCGAACGGCACTCACGCCGCCGGAGGTGTCGAATGTTGCTGTTGCAGATGTTGCACCTGCATACACGTGGAATTCCTGAAGACCATGCCGGGCATTATCAAGCTATGCGAAACGGTACGTCCTACTCGTTAGCCGTTTCACGGAATACCGTACGGCGATAATGATCGCGCGCGGTGGTTGCAGATAATCAGCGGCCTGATACAGAGCCTGCTAATTAACTACGGCCTGAGGTACAGCACGACGATCGGCTCGGCTTTCGAAGGATCCCTGACCACATCTTCCGCTTGCTTCTTGACGTCGTCGGTGTTGCTGGCCTGCTACATCGTGTCCGAAAAATCGTACAAACTGATCAAATCGTCTCTGTTCGTGCGTACGATAATTGCAATCTTCGATCGGCGCTAGTTCGATCCCTTCTAATAGCCTTCGCGGCCGTTTCAGGAGATGATGTTCAACGCTCTAGCGTCGTTTCTATATCTGAGCTCGGCTTCGTATTTGGCGTTCTCCACGAAGATGTTCCTCCTCCCGGAATATTACATAAGGCCAGGATTCGACGTGTATCCTGCGATGACGGCAGCTTACGTAGGTATCATTACCCGCGACACTTTTTCCATCGCTGAACGTGTCCATTTCCACAGATGATGAGCGGCTTTGTCGGGGTATTACACGGAGCGGACGCCTATTTCTCTTACGCGCACTACAAGACCGGACGTTATTGAATCTCTTCACTCCCCGACGACGATTTGTAATCGGATCGGATAATCAGGGAAATGGGTCGAGTGCTTATTACCCGTTCAACCGATACGGCGATCTTTTCTACATAGGACATCCACTATTTTCGTATTCCTGTACAGAATTTGTAAAAAAGAAAAGAAAAATAAAATGTTGAAACCAGTAAGCGCCGCGTGGAACAGAGACGCGAATAGCATCGCCGAATTCCCGTCACGGGACACGCGTCCTTCACGGCACGGAGCTGAAGGGGTGCGGTTCGTCGCGCGGCTCGTCTCGGAGGAAGCTGATGGCGCGTAACATATTTTTGAGGAAGACTGTACGAAAAGCGTGCAGGTCGTTTCAATGCGTACCAGGTTATACGCGGTTCCCGGACAGTGAATGGAAGTTACACGTCGGTCCTCATGGACTCCCCTCGATGGAGACCGTGAGGTTTCTCTTTCCTCTCTGCCCCGCCCCTGCCTCTGCCTCTTCCCGCGATCCGTGAAGCGTAGCTGGCCTCTCTTTCTTCCACTTTCGGTTCCGAGCGTTCCTTCTTGTTCGACGCACGCTCGGTTTCCGTTGCTCTCGTAGAGGCCTCACCGAGCATATCGCATGACTCGCGAGGCATGTGGCCGACAGTTTACTTCGGGACCTCGAACCGGTCGATTCGCGGACGATTTCGAGCGTTCCCCGCGACTAAGGTAAACGAACGCGAGGAGAGTACCTACAGGATCGCCCGAACATGAGGCTGCACGTCAGAAGCGTCAACGACAGCCACGGACTGGCCTCTTCGAGGGAAGGTACGTATTCCAGTTTCCCTTCGATCCTCCGTACTCGACTTTTGATCGTTCAATCTCGGCGAACTTGCGTGTCGCGAACCGATCGTCGACAAGGACAGTCCCGGTGCAAGGCTCCGATTGCATTCCAAATCGATTCCCCCGATCGCGTGATTTTCGAGGAACGTTCTCGCCCGTTCCCGTCGCGAACGCACGAGTCTCGAGCGAAACTCAACAGGTGTCTAATCCCGAGTTCGCTTCTCCTCTTCTCTTTCCACGCCGATTCGCCGCGGTCCGGAGCGCCTTTACCTGCGTATACCTGCATCGTTACACGGTATACATTCCGATGAATTACTCGAGACAAGGCTACCATTATCCGTCCGTACTGGCCCCTCTCGCCGTTTCTTCCCGCGATCGGAAAGTTTTCTACGACCAAGTGTTACTCGCCGCATTATCAGCGTGCAGTATCGCGGCAAGAAACCACCGATACTTTCTCCGGTCACTAGTATCCACGCGATTTCACTTGTTCTCCGATCGGCTGGAGCTTTGCTTTTGAAATCAATCCGGGCGTCTTTCACGCGGACGATTAAATGTACCACGAATGTACGAGCGTGTGCGTCTACGTATGTACATGCTCACGGTCGTATAACGGAACCGATGCGAGGTAATTAGTTTCTGAACGGGAACGTTGCAAATATTTGTCTCCGACAAACAAAGGAAAATAAGGGGGCACACGTCGCGCTGTCGCGTCGATGGGAAGACGAGGAATTATCGTCGTATCTGTTCAACCGTCGACAATGACGTGCCGTTCGGAACGTTGAATTATCGTCGGTTCCGTGGAAACGATTTCGCAGATCGTACTCGTGTTTCAGGAAAAATCCGGCGGCCGATCGGAACCCGATGTTTACTGTCTCAGCGAATTATTAAACACGGCTTTCGTAATCTATTATTTCCCGATGGCGCGCTTTTTATCTGCCTCGGCGATAGCGACTTCGAATACGCCTCTCTCGTACAATGTAGACATCGATTCTTGGGAAATGCTAGCTGGTTAGACGCGCGAGAAACCTTTCTCCGGGAAATGCTCTGCCTAGTGCGGGCACCGATTTCGGGGCAGAAAACGCGCTCATTCGGAAACTCGGGGAATAGCTAGTTTGGTATACGAGTCACCGCTCGCTTCGGTGCTTCCCCTAACCGCTTGCCACACGATAACGTGTGTTTTGTGGTGAAGATTTGAACGCTAGATTTATTCTTACGCCTTATTCCATTGGTCATATAAGAGTACGCGTTTGTTCATATAATTCGCGGAAAAAAGATTGAAGGATAAAGAATTATGCGCATTCCTGTAATCGGTATTCAAAATCGAAATTACGAAGTAATGTTAGAAAGGTTCAATGTCAAACTGATGAATTCCGCAAATTTAGTGTTAAATAGAGATGATCGTACATATCATTCTATTCTTTCTTCAAATATTATCGCTCTGTTATTAATTATACTTCAGAGCGAACGTAGACAGGAAACATCTGTTTTCAGTGAACCATTAGAGATGGAATGTGGATGTATCGATCACGGTTGAGAAATAAGTCATAGGGCAAGGGGTTAAGAGAGCTTCCAGCTAGAATTTTACGAGACCGTAAAATCGTCGGCGCGCAACAGGTCTTCGGCGTTACATAATACGCTTTCTTCGGCTGCACATTCACCTCGGAACAATACGCGATTCTCGACCGGTCGAAAAGCAGGGGCGATCCACCACCCGAGTCGATAATTTTCACGCTTTACCAGTATCCGAGATAGCAACGAGTACCTTGCCCCCGTGTCACGAGTTTCGAGATTGCCAGCAGCTGTCTCCCTTAATTCTCGAGCGTCGAGCAGCGAGACCCTCCGAAATTTCGTCGGGTCTACGTGACGTAGCATTAGGGGCCTTGATAAACGTTCCTTGGGTCCTTCCTCTTCCTGTTCCGTCACGGTGGCGTACGTGCCCCAAGGAACGTCACCGAGAGGTCCGCGCGAGCAGGAAGGAGTCACGATTCACGCGATGACGTCAATCCATCAAGTGACCAAATATTTCGAGCTCCTTATACTCGATGATACGTCTATCGCGTTCGATCGACGAACGTCAGCGCGCGTATGTACGTACATACACACTCGTTTTATCGATCTCTGCCTTTACCGAGACTCGACACCGTTCGATAACCGATCGATCCGCGTAACCCGGTTGCCCGCGGGAGAGAGGATTCCGAAAACGCGCGTTCGATTCGTTCGAGACGATTAAGAAGGAAACTGTTTCAGGGGAAGTGTCGTGGTCTACGACAGAGACACCTTTCACCGCCGAAGAAGAAGACGCGATAGTCACGTTGGTGGTGGTCGTGGTCGGTATCATCGTGGCCATAGTTATACTCTTCTCAATGGGGATATTCATCGATTGCAAACATCAGTACGCAAGCATCGTGGCACACGACATTCTCTGTTACCGGCTAATCGAATACCGGCGAACTGACCGATCGTTCTTTCCAGGAAAAAGGACGCGCTGAAGAAGAGGAAGCTGAAGCTGAGAATGCCGCCGATATCCCGAGCGAGAAAGGGCGAGAAGGAGGACGTGAAATCACTGGCGGCCGACATGTGTCCGAACGGGGCCAGCGACGCCGATTTCCGAACGAGGAACGCGGTGGTTTGACAGTCCACTGCGCCGTCTTGAAATTCAACACGAATGCAAGCCACGGTGCAGCTGGATCTTGTTGAACTTCATCGAGACGGAGGAAGGTGGTCCCCGGCGGAAGCTAACGAACTATCGAAGCGATTTAAACGATTTAAGCGATCCAAATGAGCGAGGGGAGTGGCTCGTTGTCCTAGAATCACGCGGGGAAATGAAATTCGGCGAACGACGCGCGTGCCCATCGCGGGGAAGTTGTTCGCGAACGGAGATTATAATGATTCCCTCGACTGTGATTCATATATCCCTATTTATCTCGTCCGTCGATTGAAATTCTTCGATCGCATCGATCGGATCTCGTGGCCCTGCAAAAAGTTGTTGCGGCAAGCAACGCAATTGGAATGCGACGAAGCTGATCCCTCTTTCCTTTCTGTCTTTCTCTCCTTTTTGTTCCCTCTGTCGTCGTCTCGCGCCGAATTTAAGTGTTCGCTCGATACGATGAGCATCGTACGAACGGGAATGCGAACGTATCAACGTGAAAACAGATGTTTACAGACGTAGGCGGTATCGACTGATTTTATGCAACTGCATTTCGTCGCGATTCCAATTGCTACAGTGCCGAGATGTCAATGTCTAGTCATTCCTTCGGCCTTGTAGCGATTAGCTGTTGGAGTGTCGTTCCGTCATCTATCCGCGCGACGAATTTATCGCGGATCATTCAATAAATCGTGGGCAACGTTGAATGTTCGCGCATCGACGCTGATTAGAACGGCGGAAAAATATGCTGACGTGAAATGTAACACGAACCGATTCGTCGGGCGCAGATTGCAGAGCGTTCGAGATACCTCTAATCGAAAACCGTGTACGCATTATGTTCGTATCGATTCACCATAATCGTGTTATACGTGTACGCACGCGTACACAAACTTAAACTGTACATACGTGATATTGCCTGAAAATAAGATATTTTATTATTTGGCACATCGATCGTTTCTTTATTTTCATTTGTGTTCAGAGGATTAAAGGTACCCGAATGTCGTCCACCCTTATCAAGCGGGGACAAAGGTTTGGTCTAAATGCATCGTCACGCGAGGAATGTTCCGTAGAAACGATTCGGGCGTTCAGAAATATAAATTTCAAGTGTGATCGTAAGGTCGCTCGTAGAAAACAGGATTTCAATCGGAGAATGTTCGTGTTCCGTTTCGTTGCTTCTTTCGCTCGAGTACAAAATCTATTCCACTCGAACCACGTACCAATTGGGAACATGATAAAATATTTGTCCATCTTCTCGCAGTTACTCCTGAAACATTGTGGGTTAACCTTGGACGTATCATGGACGTCTGAGGACCATCTCCAACAGAGCCATTCTCACGTAGACACCGTTTTCGGCTTGCCGGAAGTAAGCGGCTCGTGGATCCTTGTCGAAATCCGGACTGATCTCGAACACGCGTGGCAACGGATGCATAACGATCATTTTTCTTTTCGCGCGAGACATTATCTGCGGCGTTACCACGAAATGCCCACAAACCTGAAAAACCCGAAACATTTCACATTACGATAGAAACGATTCGCTCGAATCGAGTGGCTCGCAACTCGTTTTATCTTAAAATCCCGGTAATCGGATGTCACTGTTCTTTTCCTTAAGAAGCTATGCACACGAGTGACGCGATCTAGCTGCGCTGCCGTTGCGATTGTTTTGTAACAACAGAGAAACGAGACTTCTACCTCACGCAAGAAGGATGAAAGAACTTTACGCCTCTGTTTTTCAAAAATCGTACAGGTATCACGTACACAGAACAAATTTCATCTTACACAATACACACAGTTAAAAAGAGAAATACTTCTGATTGTCATCCTTGTCGCGATTGACAAAACGCCAACGAATCGCGACAAGGATAGAAGTATTCCTTTCCTTTTTAACACGTTGAATGCCATGGGGGCCACCGGTGACCTCCACCCAAATCGAGTTGCCAGTTCACTTAAGTATACGATGATGAATTGAACACATTTCTATATTACAAATAATGCTACCAAACGCGGTGACATTCAACTAAATCAACGTGCAATAATAATGCAATTCGATCCAATGATTAAATATTATATTCTTTCCATTTTATGTAGTTTCCTCTATGCAATCGCGCGGCATTCAACGTTTTAATGGCGTACATTATGTAACGTGACATTTACTTTGTATATATGGTACATATACGAAAATGGCCAACGTCACCGCCGCGATATCGCGTCGCTCGCGTGCATAGGCCCTAAACGATTCTCCTCGCGTGCTATCGGTCAACCGTTCGATTCTTCGAATAGAGTGACACTGGTATCGAACAGAAGTAGCGTTTACCTGTCGATATTCCTCCTGCGTGGCGAAACGTTCCTTCTGAATGCGAGTCATGTAAAGGACGTCGGTGTCGGGAAGAGCGTCCTCCAGGGTGGAGAACTTTTCCTGAGGGATCCCGCGGTCGGACACGTACTTCACCACGTGGTCAGGCATGCCAAGGCCAGGTGGGCACACGTAACGCAGCTCCACATTGTACAGAGTCAACAACCTGCATCGCGCCGCGTGCGTTCCAGAAACAGCGATCGCCGCGCGCAGATAGCATAAAGATAAGGTGAGTCAAGGATGCGAGGCGAGCAGAGTTACGGATCGACCGGACTCTGACGATCGAGGAAGAAACTGACCTTGCGAGGGAGTGCACCGTTCTGCCGTGCTTCAGATCGCCCACCATTGTGATCGTGAGCCCGTTCACCGTGCCGATTTCGTCCCGAATGGTGAAGATGTCGAGCAACGCCTGCGTGGGATGTTCACCGACTCCGTCGCCGGCGTTCAACATCGGCTTCCTACAGTGCTGCGCGGCCCTCTGAACAAATATCGAGGAACGATGAGAGTGTTTCATTCGTATCGCGCGCCAGAGAAATGAAAAAGCCGATCGCTCACCGATACAGCGCCCGGTTCGGGATGTCGGAGAACTATAACGTCAGCGTATCCAGCCATCACCGCCACCGAATCTGAAACACACGGGTGATCGGTCAACGGATCTCTTACCGATCGGGGAAAGAATTCGTCTATCGCCTGAGCTCAAATACCTTCCAGAGTCTCCCCTTTCTTGACAGACGACGTGGATCCGTCCATGTATATCACCCGTCCGCCCAGACGTTGCATTGCCGCCGCGAAACTGCAAGACGTTCTCGTGCTAGCTTCATAAAAGATCAAGGCCATCAGCTTCCCCTGTTCACGGAAAACGCGAGATCATTCGTCGAAGGGAACCGTCGAACGAACATCGTCCGGGAGAACAAGGTGTCTTTCTTACTCGTAGTATGTGATTCAACGGTCGCTCCTTTCTGATCGCGTTGCGATGTCCCTCCGCGACGTTGAACAGATCCTTCAAGATCTCCTTGTTGAATATATCCACGGACAGCACGTTGTGCCCGTTCAAGCTGTGGCTGGTGTGGACGGGGAGGACCGGCGGTGCCACGAACACGTTCGGGTTGCTGTCGCTCTTGTACTTCATCGCGCTGCTTATCGGGAGCGGCGAAACGGTCCGTTGTATCGACGATGTTCGCGGGTGTTCCCGGGAATCCACTTCGGTGGCGAAGTGAACGTTCGACTTGGGCAACGTCGATTGCGACAGATACTCTGAAAATCATGAGAGACCATTCGACTTCGTACCTTCCGGTTTCGCGCCGTCCGAACAGTCGGTTACCATTTTGCTCCTCTTCCGATGTATCGTAATGGAATATGTCATAATTCGGAGACAACAGACCGTCCTGCGCCGAGCTCGGCCGACTGGTTACGTCGATGATCGGCGCGATCGACAGACTTTGATGCTTCATCTTCGCTTGAACCTCTCTTATGTCCTGCCCGAAACCTGGATTCACCAGGACCTGTCCCTCGACGTAGGCGACTTCCCCTCTTAGAACTACCCTGTAAACCGAACCGCGAACCTTCATCCCGGCGAACGGTGTCCACTTCGATTTGCTGAAGGGCATTGCGTCCGGGATGACCCACTCATCCTCGAGGTCGACTTCGATGTAGGTGTGCGGCTGATCCGGTATATTGAAGATCCTTTTCGGATTCTTGTAGAGTTTGTTCACCACATCCTAAAAATCAGAGGAAATCATCAACGATTCGCACAGACGCCGGAGAAGGGATGGAAGGAGGAATCATCGTTCTCGGAAGGTTTAATCAGAATCTTTTAACTGTCATCACACTCCAACACTATTTATCTCGTCGCGGCGGAGCGATATCGAAGACAATGTCTCAATGAATCATACCGAAGAAGATACGTTTCAACCGTCGATTGATTGTACAAATCATCGATCGTTTCCGGTTCGGAGAGAAAAATACGGCCGAATGACGTGTACGATGATTCTCTGTACCTCCATCGTTAATTTTCCCTCGTGAACGGCGGTGAGCAACAGCGGAAGCATGGTCTCGAGGCCGGGAAATCCTGGTGGTGGTTTCTCGCTGGACTTCTCTTGTACGGTGTGCGGTGCTTGAACATTGAAATTCCCGTTCAACGAACCGAGGTTTGACGCGCATTTGGTATTTTATGGCGATTAGCTTACCGTGATCAGTCGCGAAGCAATCGATCACGTCCAAATTCTCCCACAATGCCTGTTGATCCTCTTTGGTTCCTAGAATCGGTCTCACTTGGCCTCGGCCATGACCAATGCGCTCCAAGTCATCCTCGCAGAGGAACAAGTGGTGAGGACACACCTCGCAAGTGACAGCCATACCCTGAAATAAACGAATTTCGCCTTGGGAATCGAGTGCGTCGCTCTGGATTTCGTTCATCTCAGGATGAATCACGCACCTTGTCCTTAGCGGCGCGAATTATTTGAATCTCTTCCTTCCGAGCTACATGGCACACGTGGATGGGTCGATTATGCAAACCGGCCAACAGGAGAATCGCGGCTGTCGTTTGACCCTCGGCGTGCACGCAGAGAGGGTATTTCTTCGGCCAGCTTTGGAAATGCTGGAAACAAATCGATGCTACAGCATCACTCAAGTTAACGTGATTACGCGATAAGTTCCCTTACGCTTTTACGTAATGCGTTATAACAATACAGCGTTATCAGGCAAGCAAGTATTCGCGGTCGCGGAGTTGTTACACTCCGGGAACTACAGAAACTGTTGACTCGAGGACTGCTCGAGGACTGTACAGTATCGTCGAAAAGTTGGAAAAGGTTCGTCCCACTCGGATGGATGAATCTGGTAGTTAATTCTTAGTTAATTTACGGAATGGTAATGGAAAAACTCTGTGAAACATACAAAACCTTCAGCAGATGAAGCTAAATTATATATCGGTTGCTTAAACAATAGAAAACAAGGAAACTACACGGTGATCCGTTGCTGTCTGAGTGATTCCATCATTCGTTTGCGACTTAGTCTTCCAAACACGAGAACTCGATCTCGCCGAAGTGTCGATGTTTGTCCGTAAGGGGTTCGGAATAGATACGCACCTTGATCCACATGGAGAGATCAGTCAATCGGAGTGTCGTAAACGTTTCGTTCAGATACATTTTCAATCCAGCCGCCAGAGGTGCCAATTCGGACGCTATGTTACAATTCTCGGAGGACGCGCCGACGAAGATCGCGTAGTCGCATCTAGCGTTGCTCTGGGCTCGCTGAAAAGTCGAGAGACAGCATTTCAAATCGAACGGTTGGCAAACGAAGCGTCGCGAGCCTGTTTACCTCCTTGGCCAACGCGAAGGACTGATGATCGACGACCGCCGGATTCGTGTTGGGCATCGCGAAAATCATCGTGATGCCTCCGGCGAGCGCAGCGGCGGTGCACGAAGCGAAATCCTCTTTGTAAATCGCGCCAGGATCGCGCGTATGCACGTGGACGTCGATAAAACCAGGGAGTTTAATCATCGTCCGCGAAGACACGCAGTCTGTGTGCGTTGTCATGCGAGGTGCGTGTCCGTTCAGCATTCTCATGGCCTGCGTAACAGCCTCTATTTAGTACAGTATCTCTTGATTTCCGCGCGTTCGAAACGAATGCGTTATCGTCGGTTATCCAACAATGGTGCACGCATCGTTGCATCGCATGTGAAAACGCACCGCTCGACGGTTTCTCCGATACAGCGGTTAATTCGAAGTGGTCCGTCGATCGAATCAAGTGGGGATCACGTTGGCACGCGATCGTTAGGGTTAAAAACGCTTCGATGGAATTCTCGACGCATTAATAATCGACATTACAAGATAAAATTCGTGTCGGTGATAAGCCTGAGTAAGAAGCATAACGTAACGCGGCGAATTCCAATCGTTTGAGAACATTCGGCGAACACGTATCGAACCGCAGTAAACTTTGCCCCCGTGTCCCATACTCACCTCGACCAGCAATTTCGCGCATTTCACATCCGTGATCAGGGGAACCGAATAATCGATGGCCAACCTCCTCATACGATATCCGTGCGTCATGAAATTGGAAACGCGACGTACACCCCCGTTCCGTATCGGTAAATTGATTATAAGATCGAACTGCTTCTTCGAGAGGAAATCGGCTAGATGCCGGAGCTCGCTCGGACTGGAATCTTCGTTCACGGTGATATCTTCGAAGGTCCATTGCACCGGTTCAACCTGCAATTAAATAGATTTTTCTTTCGAAGCTGGTTCTTACGGGGCTCGTTCTCCTATTTCGAAGCACATATTATTTGTTGCCGGCCGATTAGGTCGCGTTATCGTTTAGAGAGTCGCTTATCGCCGCTACGTTCATAGCTGTATAGTTTCTATACAAAACAGTCGATAACGATCACCCGCGTATCGCTTTATAATCAATCGAACTATGTATAACTAGATAAGGCGAGGTACCGTTGGAAGAATCACAGGAACGTAGAATAAATTGATTGATGTACCATCAATTAAGAACACGTTCCGTTTGATTTATTCGACGATTTTCCGTTAACGCCATTAACGGACGCGTTAAGAAGAGGATCGCGAATGGAAAAAGTCGTACACGGAATGCGAGAACGATTACGATCCCCGAGTTAATTTTCATTTCGCCCGATGAAAAGCTTTCGATAAGCGGGCATTGTTGTCATCCTCGTCGGTGACCAGGCTCTCGAAATCGTTATCGCGCGGGCTATGCCTCAATCGCGCTGTAGCATAATCGAGCAGTTAACAGAAGAATTTTTCGTGCGCGGTTTATTTGTCGATAGCCGATATCGAAGTACCGATTAAAACCGTTCTGCCTCCTAGCTCGATCATCAGATACGTAGCGGGCTTTTATCAGCCGCGGTACCCTGAAACTGGATTACTGTTTCGTGGATGAACGTCGAGTACGCGTCGTTTAGTGCTGCGCGAACCATGTTCGCGGACGTTCGATTCTCCTCGAGGGGATTGAACCAACGAATTTGACTGTCTTTCTCGACGGGACACCGCCACGCGGGCGAGTTACGTGAATACAACTGTTTTTGGTGAAACGGAGGACGTGCAATGGGAAGTTCCGGGTCGAAGGGCAAGAAGGGGTTGCGAGAGAAAAAGCACACGCAAGCGTCACACGACAGTGACTACGAGGACATAGAGCTGCTTCTGCTTAGGAAAACGATTCAGAGGGACCCGGAGGGCTTCGTGCTGAACAATCTAATGCTATGCGTCCAGTTCTTCAAGAATTACGAGTAAGATGAACGTTTTTGAGAAATCGATAACGTCGCGGCACCGCGAGAGTCACGTTTCCACGTATTCCTCACGCGTATCCGTTCTCGATCTCTCCGACAGTAACATTTCAGTGTTCCGTGTCCAGTCGATTCGCCGATACGCATCGCGATCCAATTAATCGTAATCTAATCTTCGCTTGTAGTTGTAATAAGCCGGAAAAAATAATTTTGTTTCTCGATCGACGCGACAATTCGAACTAATAACATAGATTCGCGCTTTGCTTCCGACAATCGACAGAGCGATACCGCCGCGCCGCGATCGAGGAGAAGATGACGTTGATCGAGATCGGTTTCCAGGGAAATCGAAGCGGTGAAGGGGACTTTAGTGTCGACGCTCGAGGTGGAGCTGAACAAACGCATGCCACCGCAGAAGCATGTTCTCCTACCGGACGTTCTCCAAGAATGCGTCGCGAGGAACGTCGGATTCACGTCGACGAGGCAGACGTTTCGTCCTATCACCGAGCCACTGCTGCCGGTACGAATTTACACGGTCCACGACAACGTCGACATCACAGAAGACAACTTGCTGCCGCACTACAGCAGCATGAACGATTCGATCATGTACAATATGCTGCTGCAAACCACGGAGCACGAAGGTAAGAGAAGATAAGTGGAACCCTACGAACCGAAACGTCCCTCTCGTTGGTACTTTCAACGAAATCTCGTTTCTTCCGACAGGGTACATTCAGCTGCAGCTTGTCGAAGAATCCGGACTGTCGACGAACGGTTCAAAGGAAGATGATCTGTCGTCGATCGCGGAGGACGACGACGAATTCTACAGTGACGGCGACAGCGTGTACTGTGTGAAGCCGCGCAACGACCTGATGATAGCCCAACGATCGCGACAAAGGACACCGATAGCGTCCATAAACGGATCCATGAACGGGTCCAGCAGGTCGTTGCCTAACCTGCTCGCAGAGGATGAAATCCTGTACGAGGAGAGGCGAGCGCTCAGTAACTCGAATCGTAACTTGCGAAACGTCGCCGAGACCGATTACGAGAACGCCTCCTCCTCCCACGAGAAGCAACGGAACCTTAATAAAAAATCATCGTTCAGGGAAGAACCGGTGAAAGGAGACCGTCGCCGGTACGAGAAACACTCGCCGCGAGTGAAGACGCTAGGGTCCGCCAATCAGAGTCATTCCAGTAGCATAAGCTCCGGTTATCGGTCCGATAATTATGCGATGGACAGCGATAGTAGTTACAATCCCACCCAAAATTCCAGGCTCGAACGAAGTTCGACCGACGAGGGGATAGAGGAAAATTGTATAATGACCGGCAAGTTGCCGAGTCGTTGCTTCAAGCGAGTCACGTACACGGCGGACGGGAAAATTTACGATCCGCAGGATGAGAAGAAACCTTTGTTGAACAGCAGACAACGGAGGATCAAGCAGGTTCTGAATCGTCACAATTACGATGTGAGTTACATCAGCAGCACCATGTTCATGGCGCACTTCAAGAAGATGTTTCGGCAACGATTGGCCGCCTGCCTAGGCCTCGATCGGGAATCCGTGCAGGAATTGAAATCCATGGGATGCGTGATCCACTGCGACAGAGTTTTCTTCTCGAAAACTTCCACGCACAGCCGGGTCGTGCAGTACGAGATCGTGCCGGCCTTTTGGTTGCAGTGGCCTGAGTGCGCTCAGGAATGGCTGGACCGACCGCGGAGCACATGGCCCGACTACGATGACATCGAGAAGATCAAAACCTCCGGATGTTACGTGGTCCCGGAGGGATTCATGTCGAGAGACAATAAGAACCCTAGCAAGGACATCGAGTGGCAGCTGATCTTCCCGGCCGCGGAACGGTACCTCGAAACTTGTATGACCTGGACTCAAACGCAGGTCTATTTGGTCGCGCTGATGCTGCACAAGACTTTTATGAGACCGATCTCGGACAGCCTGTATGGCCTGACGACCGGTCAGATCAAGCACAAGCTTTTCTGGTTGATAGAGGAAAACGATAGACCGTCCAAGTGGCCTGGCACCAGAATGGGCGATTGTTTGATGACATTGCTCAATTCCCTTTACTACAGCACGAGCCTAAACGAGCCGACGCTCAGGGATTACTTCGTCAGAGGCAGGAATCTGTTTCAGTGGGCGCAGAACGGCCACCTGCTCTACACACAGAAACAACTGAAACGTATCATCGAGAACCCGGTGATGTACGTCATCTACGCACTGCAGAACATTCGATACGGCGATAACTTCTTCCCGCGATTAGATTTCGAGATGCTGGTGCAAATATTAACGGAGGACACGCTGGCTCTGATCAATCCAGCGCTTAGAACGCAAGTCCCTAAGTCGATGCCGCAATCGAATCAAGACGCTGCTAGGCAGGACGAGAAATATCATAGAACTTCGTTCTGGGACAACGCCAAGAAACAAGAAATGAAACACACCGCTCGGGTGGTCAACAATAAAACGCTGATCTGTCGACGCAACCCTACGGATTCTATCGTCGAAATCTCGGTAAGATTCGTTAGAAGTATACACGATTCGTTTACATTCCCTATATTGTGCTTTTCCTTTCATCGGTACTAATGCCGAGCATCAAGCTAATCCTTCCTCACGGACGTGCACGCGCTCGCTTGTCGTCTCTAGTTTAATCTTATCTACGATAGTCTGGCGAGTGACCGTCATCACAATTTTCAGATACGCTGTGCCGAGTTGGAGGATACGAGATTATGCGTTCTACTAGACTTCTTCATACGACACTTCATTAGAATAGCCGAGCGATGCAATCAGTACGGAGCTGGTCGACAAAAAACACTCTACCTCGATCACGCCGATCGTTTGTCCATCATCCTCTTCGAACACCAAGCGTACAAGGACGACGCTAGAAGTTATCGCGACAAGATCAAAGTTCTCCGAAAGAAGAACCTTGGCACACGCTCTCAAAGCGACGCGCCCGAAACACCGAAGAGAAATCCGGAATCGGCGATGTTCGCAGCACCGTTGAGAAATCGTTTTAGGAGAACGTCTGTGGAGACGTCTAGGTCTGCGCAGAGCAATGAAACGTTGTCGGGTACGGAGGACGTGCAATCGAAACGGTCGGATCAAAGTACCGCCGACCAACGGAACACCACGAAAGTGATGGTGCACGGAACAGAGAAAGAAGATTCGGTAGAGCAGGCTTCGACCAGTACTACGTCGCCTCAGGTTTTACCGGTGAAGAAAGCGAAAGATAGGTCTGGCCAGGTTGTCAAGTTTGTAGAATCGAGCGACTCTGAGACGAATGATTCTACATTTATATAAGGAACTGTCCTTATCAGCGCGAGAAGGAACGAACTGTTCCTTCGTCGCTAAAATAAATATGAACATTAGGAGCAAGTTAACGCAGTAATTTATTACCGTTTAACGTTATTTATACTTGGAAAAGACTGAAAGCGTTTCGCTATCCCGTGGACTAGTAGAACGCATCCATTCGAAAGAAATAATTAAAGTAATTTAAACATTGACATCTGCTTGTAACCCGAAATACAAGTATTTGAATACAATTTACCATTGTAAGAGTGCGCATGATTACGCAACAATTCTTTCTTCACTTACCTCGACTCCATGCTCGGTGTAAAAATCTGCGGTTCCCATGCTCGCGTACAATTTGTATCCCATCTTACGGAGGGAGCGAATAGATGGCAGTAATTCCATTTTATGCTGAAAACCGACGCACGAGTTCAGTGGATTGTATAGTTGAACGTTGTACGTAGTTAGACGATAAGACGATTGTACCTTGAAACTTCCGATAGAGAGTAAGATTCCTTTCTGCGGTATGTGAAAGCCAGTGCTCATCATTCCCTTGAGATAAGCTTCGAACCGATTGTCACCGAAACAAGCCACTTCACCGGTAGAAACCATCTCGACACCCAACATCACGTCAGCGCCTGTTATATAATATGTATATAAATGTAACCTACCAATCAATTGTATTATAAATATCGTATCATACCTGCGAGTCTCGAGAATGAGAACTGCGGCACTTTAACGCCGACTTTGCCGCATCCGGCGAGAACGTCCACAGGATCGACGGACTCTCCGACGATCAGTCGAGTGGCCATAGCCACGAAATCGTGGTCCAAGGTTTTCGAAACGAAAGGGAACGATCTGGAGGCTCGGACGTTGCACTCGATCACTTTCAACTCGTTGTCCTGTCCGGATGTAAACACGAGTAAAACCGTTTAACCCCTTGACCTATGATCCCTTTCTCAATTGTGATCGATCTAACTACTTTGTTATTAATGATTAATCGAAACTAAGAGAAATATCCATTTCTATTCTATGTCAACGTGTGCTCTAAGGTACAATCATTGACAACAGCGGAATAATATGCAATTTGCCTTCAAACAGATTGAATAATATTTATGTTTGTTAAATTCTGTTTGGAATCTTTACCGCGAGTCTGACACGATATTGTAGGGCAAGGGGTTAACTTGGTTATTGTTGGCGCTTAAAGGCGCTTTGAAAAATTTGGTTTTGATTGTTATCATCGTCTATAGGCGTCCGTAAAATGTTATCGACAATATTTGCAGCAAAGCTAACTTAGATCAGACGTAAGTGAATTCTAATCCAACGATTACGTAATCGTTAGCTATACATTATATAAATATGATTATTTTATATTAAAAATGGTTCGTCATTCGTCGAACAACTTGGGATTAATTATTACGTTGGGATTTATTATACACGTTCTCGCCATTTACTGCAAAGTTAAAAGTCGACAGGGGCAAGGGGACTCTTCCACTCATGATGCTCGGACCGCCCCGGCTTTCTTGGACGGTCATTATTGGCGCGCGGCAGTAACAAAGGACGAAAGCGAGACTGAATGCGATGAAGCGCCATCGCGCATCGCGCGCCAATAATAACCATGCGTCGAAAGTCGAGATGGCCGGAACATCGTGAGTGGAAGAGCTTCCTTACCTATGCATTTTTAGTTCGACAATCGATGGAGCTACCGTGAGAACTGCACTGTACCTTGGCGATCAGTTGCATGTTGAAGGGACCCGTGACACAGAGCGACGCCGCAATCGCTCTCGAGATTGTCTTAATCTTCGCCAACGTCTGAGCGTTGATGTCCTGCGGCGGAGTGACCAATGTAGCGTCTCCGGAATGGACACCGGCGTTCTCCACGTGCTCCGACACGGCCATGCAAAGGATAACTCCGTCATAGGCGACCGCGTCCACGTCTATTTCCTTCGCCTCGAGGATGAACTTCGAAATAACCACCGGATGCTCCTTGTTCACCTCGCTCGCGCTCTTTAAATACGACTCGAGGTCCTGATTCGAGTGCGCCACGTTCATCGCAGCTCCGCTCAGAACGTACGAGGGTCGCACCAAGCACGGATAACCGACCTCCTCGCAGAACTCGATGGCCGACTTCAAATTGGTCAGTTCTTTCCACCTGGACGAGACTCGCGTTTAACTACGCAACGAGAGTAACGACGTGCGACTAGAGCATCGTTTGTTTACCTAGGTTGCGATATACCGATACCATCCAGCATGCGAGAGAACTTGAACCGATTCTCAGCGCCGTCCACAGACTCGGGCGAGGTACCGAGAATCCTCGCTTGCTGCCTATGCAGATCCATAGCGATGTTATTCGGCAGCTGCCCGCCCATGGATAGAATAATGCCTTCCGGATTCTCGTGGTCGTAAATGTCCATCACGACTTCGAAGGATATCTCCTCGAAGTACAGTCTGTCGCTCATGTCGTAGTCGGTGCTGACGGTTTCCGGATTATAGTTGACCATGATCGTTTTCTTCCCTAGATTCCGTAGTTCGCGCAGGCAGCTCACCGCACACCAATCGAACTCCACCGAGCTGCCGATTCGATAAACACCGGAACCTGGACAGAATCAAGCACGCGAATCCGTCGATCGATTCGTGGCGAATAAGGCGAGACTCGTTCTAGCTGTAACTTACCCATCACCATCGTGTAACCGCCGAAGAACTCGACGTCGTGCGTGGTCCCGTTGTACGTCAGGTATAAATAATTCGTGGTGGCGGGCCACTCGGCCGCCACCGTGTCTATCTGCTTCACCATCGGCCGTATATTGCTCTCCTGCCTTTGGATTCTTACCGCCAACTCCGAGCTCTTCACCACCGCGGCGATCTGTTTGTCCGAGAAGCCGATCTGCTTCGCGCGCAGCAGAACGTCGTGGGATAATTTCGTGTGATCCACGTTCTCCAATACCAGATAATAGTCGATGATGTTCCTCATCTTGTAGAGGAACCAACGGTCGATCTTCGTCAGCTCGTACAACCTGTCGATCGTGTAGCCAGCCTTTATGGAGGCGGCGAGGACGAACATCCTCTTGTCCGTCGGTTTCTCCAGCTCCTCGTCGTTGGGAGTCTTCACGTAAGGATCGAACCCGTTGATGTTCTCGTCGACCATTCTTAAAGCTTTCTGGAAGGCTTCCTCGAATTTCCGACCAATCGCCATTACTTCTCCTACACTCTTCATCGAGCTACCGATCTAAAATCAAGGAACGTGCGCATCAACGCGTCGCCTCTTCAGCTGCGAATGGAAAAAGCTCGGATAGCCGGGCGGCATACCTTGGTGCTGACGCGATGAAACTTCCCGAGATCCCATCGCGGTATCTTCACGACGCAATAGTCGAGACTCGGCTCGAAGCATGCCGTGGTCTTCCCCGTTACGGAGTTATGGATGTCCGGTAACCGAATGTCGAGGGCTAGCTTGGCTGCTACGTAAGCGAGCGGATAGCCGGTCGCTTTGCTGGCTAGAGCCGAACTTCGAGACAGTCTGGCGTTCACTTCTATGATATAGTACTCCTCGGAGTTCGGGTTCAGCGCGTACTGGATATTACACTCCCCGACGACGCCGAAATGCCTGATCACGTTGATCGCCGTGGTCCGGAGCATGTTGTACTCCTTGTTGGACAACGTTTGACTCGGGGCGACCACGATCGATTCCCCGGTATGAATCCCGAGGGGATCGACGTTCTCCATGTTGCAGACCGTGATGCAATTGTCGTAAGCGTCGCGGACCACCTCGTATTCGACTTCTTTCCAACCCTTCAACGACTTGTCGATGATCAATTGGTTCGAATGGGCGAACGCCTGTTGCGCCAGTATCTTCAGCTCTTCCTTCGAATTCGCGAATCCGGATCCCAAACCTCCGAGGGAGAACGCTGCCCTAGCCATCACCGGGTAACCGAGTTTCTCGGCGGCTTCCAGTGCCTGGAAACGTGGAAAACATTTGGAAACGTTCCTTGAACTTTCACCTACAGAGGAACGCGAAGCTGTACTTCTGTACGGCAAGGTTTGCTGCGGTCTGCATATCATAAATGTAATATCACTGCAGTTTGAGGCTGATAGTATGTTCCGCTGTGCGATTATGTTAGATTAGATTATAATGTGCACAACTATTATACACAAGGATTGTGCAATCATAGTGGCGTATCATTCACAAAGATGATATAGACGAAAGCTATGATAATGGCGTACAGTAGCTAAAAGGTTAATCAGAAACTGGCCAAACGACGACCGAACAGCCTCACCTCTTGAATCGAATAGACCGCAGCGCTTGGCGCGACTTTCTCGCCGATTTCACCGATGCGCTCGGCGAAGATCTTCCTGTCTTCTGTTTCTATGATAGATTGTATAGGTGTTCCCAGGATCTTGACATTGTACTTGGCAAATACTCCGCTCTTCTCGAGCTCGACGCCACAGTTGAGCGCGGTTTGTCCGCCGAACGTCAAGAGCACACCATCGGGACGCTCCGATCGTATCACCTGCGCGAAAATAGAGCAGTTGAAAAATGAAATGTACGCGTATACATATTCGTCGATGCGGACGATCGATGTTATTTACCTCCTCCACGTATTGCGGTATAATCGGGAGAAAGTACACCTTGTCCGCCATGCCTTTCGACGTCTGAACGGTCGCGATGTTCGGGTTGATTAGAAGCGTTTGTATGCATTCCTCCCGCAGCGCTTTGATCGCCTGGGATCCAGAGTAATCGAATTCGCCCGCTTGACCTATGCTCAGTCCGCCTGAGCCCAAGATCAGCACTTTCTTAGGACGACGCGACAAATTCGGACGAAACGGATCGGGACTTAACTTCTTCTTCAACCTCTCTCTGATAGGGACCCGCGGTTTCCCCGAAGATTCGTCTTTGACGGCGTCCAGAAACACGTCGAACAGGCATTCTAAATCTTCGGGGCCGGCAGTGTGCTCCGGATGGAATTGAACCGTGAAGTACGGCAAAGTCGAATGCAAGACTCCTTCGTTGCTCTGATCATTAGCGTTTGTAAAGAGCGGTTCCCAGCCGTCCGGCAATTTGCCGGCGTCTACCGCGTATCCATGATTTTGCGAAGTCATGTAACAACGTCCGGTTCCGTGGTGCGTGACGGGCTGATTATGACCACGGTTCCCGTAACTACACACGAACGTATGGCAGATTTAGTGTCGGAAATTGGGGAACGGCGCCTCGTCGCGCGCGCCAATCGACGATCTACATATCTCGCGGCGAGGCGACAAGTGGATAGTACATACTTCATCTTATACGTAACGCAACCCGCGGCGATGCAGAGCAACTGATGACCCAGGCATATACCGAAAATCGGCGTCACCGTCCGTGACTGGAGGACCGATCGAATATTTCTCACCGTGATTTCGCACATGCTCGGATCGCCCGGCCCGTTGCTCAAAAACAAACCGTCGTACTCGACTTTCCTCAAATCGTAATTCCACGGTACCACGTCGACGCGAGCCCCTCGTCCGAGCAGGCATCTTATTTGATTGTACTTGAGGCCGCAGTCGACCACGCACACGCGAGGATGACCGTCCGGATTGTAGGTCTTCTTCTCGGGCTGAAATGTTACGTTTCAAACGTTAGCGGCTGCCGACGATAACGTTTCATCATGGGATTTCATGAAATTACAGGATACTACAACCTGAACAACTTCCGCCACCAGATTCCTCTTGTTGGGATCCGCTATAGGAGGATTCAGGGGTGTTGCTGGGTTCGTGGATGGCGGATCGAAAACGATTCTACCCAATATCGTGCCCTTCTCGCGAATAACTTTCGTCAAAGCTCTGGTATCGATTTCGTATATGCCGGGCACATTTTGTTCCTTCATCCATTGGGACAACGTTTTCGTCTGCCGCCAGTGACTCGGAGTTTCGCATATTTCGCCGACCACCAGACCAGTTACCCATATCCGATGCGACTCGAACCAGCTGCAAGAGCGGGGAACAGATTCAATTTTGATCAGCCTATCGATCGCGCGATGTACTTCCATCGCGAAATCGTCTGAGTCGCTCGAAAGGCGAGAGAGTTCTGAGAAATCTTACTAAGGTATTTTATGCTCGTCGACCTCGTTGCCGAACACGCCGTAATTGCCGATCAGTGGATACGTGAGCACAAGGATTTGAGCGTGGTAGGAAGGATCTGTGAGCGACTCCGGGTATCCCATCATACCGGTCTGAAAGACTGGAAAAAATTCATCAGTGCGAACAGCGCGTAAGTTACGCTCGTTGAAACGCTACACCGTAGCTCGCTAATCTATCCTAAATAAAAGAGAAACATTGCACACCGTGGAACGGGTCGGTCCAAACTCGTTCCACGGCTCGTGTCGCGATAACGTCGAGCTCGAATGCAGAGGACAGTATACTGCACGTATACTCCAACACGCATACACCTCGCGAATCTCTCTTTCGCTTGAATCCATCAAGTGGCAGATCGATAAATCATCGAACGCCGACAGGTAACACGTCAACATTGCTCCACGCGTTACGCAAAGGTTCAAGTCGGAGCGGAGCAAACAGTGCTCGGTTTGTTTACGAATGAAACGTTACTGATTACGATGGTTCTATAAGATTCCGTTGTGGCAGCGTTGCGCGATCGTAGCCAGGCCGGCCACCGATAGAAAAATAAGCAACGTATACAACGATACGCGCTGTAGTGGGAGACGAAGGAAAAACTGTCAATATACAGAGCGGTCATAGTTAATAAAGACACGACTCGACATAATTGACTCGTTCGACGGGCGACGCCAATGGACTCTAATAGACGGTCAACTAATTCGAAACCACGTGGGCGGTATCGATCGCGTACTGTCCGGATGAAGCGACATCGATGATATTCGGATGGAGCACGTGCACGTGTACAACAGCGAACACCGCGCGAATTCTTACTCCCGCGCGACTCCGAATTGGGAAATGGCTGATACGCGATCGGAAAGCCCCGGAAAAACGGAGCGGAATAGAATTGAATCGTCGTCGCTCATGGAAATGCCCGTGTACGTGCACGCGCATCTGTCTACCGGTTGCATACCCCAAACGAGAAACACGTGTTCATCGATTTAGACTCACCTACTTCACCGTCAACCGGATTTTCCGCACCGAAATGTTTTCCCGGAAAAACGGAGCCATCCTCTAGCAAAAGGAATGCCGTTTTCGCGTTATCGAGAACAGTGGCCGCGTGCTCGTGCATTTCTTCAACGGGTACCGGCAATCTGTGTACGATTGGAGCGTGCTCTTGGCCCGGTGAACAGTACTAACGACAGTGGCACGAGCATACGCTTTGTAGGCGATGAATATTCGAAGTGGTTTAGTAGGGGCCTCGGCAGCCCGTTTGCGCACGTCTCAGCGTCGCATTGATGGAAACGCCTCCTGCCGATAGGTGTCCGCTTTGCTCGCTGTTATACGTTGGAACGGTCGCGCGCGCCATTTTCCGTCGACCATTTTCCGGCGGTTCAAATTTGAATTCAAACTTAACGTACGCCTGCGTTCGAAACATTCTATTTCGTTTGTTTGTTTATTTCATACAACGACGGGAACAGAGAGGAAGATCACATTGCGAACGAGACGCATCTGAATAACGCGGTACAGGGATTTCGAATCGATGATTTTGAACAACGTGATTTCGTAACGGAAGACGCGCGCTTTCGGCGTTGAGACTTCACGCGCTATGCGGCTATTCGATGGTGCTTCCAAGAGCCATTCGAGTCCTCTTCCTTTTGATAAAGGATTCTGTCTCCTATCAAATGATCCCTCGCGTAATAAAATTCCATCATCGTTGGGAACAACTTGTAGCCGACGCTGAAAAACGGTTTAACCATTTAAATATACACCATCGATTTTACTTTCGCCGACAGTTCCGAGTATATTACACCTACAAATGATCCGGCATCGATAGAGTCGTCTCGTTTTTGCGGACCGAATCCAGTATCTCGTCGTGTCGTTGCTTCATCTCCTCCCAGTTCACTTCCTGCCCTTGGTGGCACAAATGAGACCGAACTTTGCAATACAACGGCTCTCTGTCGTATATGTGCTGGATATCTTCCCTCTCCAGTCTTTTCATGATCCCTTCGACTCTGACCTGTACACGGGTAGGATAGCATCTTCATCAACGACCCCTCAATGCTGATCGTCAGCTCTACGCACCTGTTTAACGATCTTCTGTTCTTTCTCGTTAACGAAACACCACAGATAACACATGGCGACGCGAGGAACGCTTTCCTGAAACGATCGGAAAACCGTCAGCGATAGGGAACGCTCGGAATTTCATTCAAAATCGCGGATCGAAGCTTGAACAACGCGCCAAAACGCGAACGTTTGCCACGAGTGGACAGACTTACTATATTGTCGACTTTCTTGCTACGACCATCCGTAACGATCACGAAACCGTCGTTGTCGAACTCCCGGAGAACGACGTTCCTCGCGGACACCCGACAGTCTCTGAAAGAAAGACCGTCGCTTTAAAGGTTTCGCCAGCTGTTCGTTCAGCGGGCGTCGATCGATCGTGCACCAACTTTGAGACAGTCGCCAAGCAACAAGCGTCTGGCGCTCGGCCGTTGTGTCTTCGTGCCTCTTCGTGCCAGATTTTGAAAAGGTCCACCGGATGATCGAGATTCGCCTCAATCTTCGCCACGTCCGAGAGATCCGATTCCTGCGACGCCTTCGCAGAGAACGATTCGCAAACAGGAACCGGTTTAGTAACGTACGGAATAGATCGCGACGAGCGCAGCATCGGCGCGCCCCGTCGAAGCATCGCTCGACGTTTTTAAACGTTCTAGTTGTTCCGCTGGAATCGCTTAATTCGTTCGAATGATCGAGTGAGAATCGCTCGAAGAATGTGCTGTTTACACGAACATTCGGTACGAGGACAAACGGTTCATTGAAAACGAACAGGAAAACTGGAACCACTTTATTCGTGAAGAACTGTACAATTGGGTACGGTTCGGCGCGATCTACTGAAAAAGATCTACAAACTGTCGCAGTTGTTATCTAGACAACGATTGCGCTCGGGAATCCTTCCAGATTAATGGGGGAACGAAATTAATAGATTCACGATTCCTCGAGAAGCGTCTTCTTTGAATATTTTAAGGAAGAGACGCTGATAGTCGATTACGTAAACGTAGTCGCGGCCGACAATTTTTTTTCTCGAGGGAATCGCCACGTTGGGAACGGTGTGACAATATTCTTACCATTTCCTTTGTTTCACCGAAACGGTCGAATCCTCCGCGTGTTTACCAGCGTGCACGCTGCACCGACGAACACCGCTGCACCAACGTCTGACGCGCAAGCGTTGCGCTTTTACCTAGTAACTCTATCGAGGCCTCCCACTATTCCCACCGGACCCTGCGCAGTATTGGGTTCGCATCACCGGCAAAGGTACTCGCAGAATGTCAGCGGCACGTCTACGGTACGAAGACTCTGAACTTGATGTAAAGTATCTCCGCTTATGTAACGTCGGTGAGCAAGCGGGAAGGCGATCGAATATAACTATACTCCCGTGGGACGAAAGTAAATCCGCGTAAGAAGGATAACACGTTGCCCGAGTACAGTTACGTAGCGTCGTCCATGTATTTCACTTCGTTTCCCGAAGAGGTCGCCGCACGTCCGTCGAACGCGCGGTTCTCGATCCGTCGCATCTAACGTACAATAACGAACATTCGACGAGCTTCTTACAAGCATGAGATGTAGAAAACGTTCCTCGAGTGTTTCACAGTCGCGTCGGAGAGCGAACGAGTATCGATAACTGTTATTAACAAATGAAACACGGTCCAACGACAGACGCGACCGCCTCTGCAATGATGTCGCGTGACACATCATCCGTTCCATCGCACGGTATCGCAATGTTCGTTTCGGTTCCAATCCGAGTCGAAAATTCGAATTGTCGTGTCTTAGGTAAAAGAATCACTCGATCGTGGATCGTATCCAAGCGATGTTCGACGATACTTTGTCGTACAGTCGGGGCCTTTCGATGCCGGCTTTCGAGCAGGCGATACGCCAACTTCCGACCCCCGTCAATGCCCATCTTTGACCGTCCGAGCGAAGACACAACATAGGACTGCCGGCGACTTCTTCCTCCTGAAAGCAGAAAACAGTGATTTCCAAGTTTCCGCGCGATTCCGCGACTAGTCGCGCCGAATTCGAGGGAACACTTACGTTGCAATCGTCAGTAGAATAGGCAGGTTCGGTGCAGACGCTGTTCACCGAGGCGATGCTAATATTTTCACACCTCTCCATCGCGCTGTGCCTAAGCTGTACTCTCTGCAGCAGGTCGCCTAACCACAGACAGTTTTTTCGTTACATCGGTAGCACGATCGAATAAAGGATATAGCGAGAATATAATACGAGAAAAACGGCAAGGTTTTTTCGCGTTAAGTAATCGTGGACGTAACAAGCACCGTATCGTATCGAAGAATCATATTTTCAAGAGACGCCGCGGTCGACGTAGCGCGTGTTTACAGCGACTTCAAGGATATCTGTGCCGATTTAAGATCGAGAAAGTTGCTGTCGCAGCGATTGTGCAAGCAGTCGCGCTCTAACATCCCTCTAAGGTCGATGCAACGCGTAAACGATACGCGTAATCACGCACTTATATAACGCGCAGTGCACAGGTCTTGCCCGCGTCTAAGCAACGGCACAGAAAGCCGATAAAATTCTTACGATTCCTAGCCCAGCCGAGAGTGTTGCAGATGGACGCGTTCGCCGGCGGATCCTGATTCGACGGTAGACACACTGGCCTCACAAAATCCGAGAATGCGGTCAACGGCCGATCCAGCTTCAACAAGACCGTCGTGCTTCCTTCCACCGGCGATTTGATCATTCCCACGATCCTGCGCTCCTGCTGCCACGGCGACGTGCTCGAGAGTCGGACGGTGCCCATTCTCGCGGACCATTCCGCTTTCGACTGACTAAAACACGATTACACGCTTCGAAAGTGAACGAGATGGCGTTGTAAATAGCGACGCGCGAGATAAGCAACGAGACCAACCCTTGGAAACAGGACGCAGTGGTGATCAACCAGTTCTCCGCGACGAGCGTGGCGTCGCAGACGTGCACCTCTTCTTTGAACAGAGCCACGTGCCAAGGCCAGTCGCCCGGCTCCGCCATTTTGTTCAGACCGCGGGTGCCACTCTTCGTACGCAAGGATTGCACGCCGCACTCTAGGCAAAAACATCGCGTGAAACTTCCAGCGGTACGAGATAGATTCCAATCGATCAGAAATTCTTGTAGTTCAGCGTTTCCGTACCAAGTTCGGAGCACCGGACGTACATGACTTCCCTGCTCGGACAAGGAGCTCTGACAAACGTGATCTCCGTGGCTGATGGATCCTCCATGTGCACGTATTGGACGTCCTCTTCGTCGTCGACTCTGATCTCCACGAATTCGACGCCCCTGTGCGAAAACGACTAGAGTCGAGATACAGAAAGATTTGCGCGTCCCTCTCGCACGGGAACCAGACGAAACGAAGACGATGCTTACGTGTACGTCAACAAGTTGCACAGCGAGCTGGCCGCAGTTTGGAGAACGGTCTCCATTTCCGTCCCAGGCAGCGTCGCGTTCAGGTTCGCGGTGCAGAGTTTGCCGATGGTACCTTTCTCGTTGAACACCACGAAACCCTCGTTGCTGTACTTGGCGGCGTGCGGGGTGTCCAGGGGCTGAGACTTGATGGCTCGGATCGTCGGCGCCAGGGACACTGCTCGCAGTCGAATCGTTCGGGTATGCAGAAACAGGGAAATCCAACCGCGCCTTCGCTCGCGGCGGACAATACTTACGGCAATCCTTCTCGTCGCTGCCGTTCGCGCAGTCCAGTTTTCCATCGCATCTCTTGGTATGCGGAATGCACGTTCTACCTACGCCGCAGTGCATGTAACCGTCGCGACAATAAGCGCAGTTCTTTTCGTCCGAAAGGTCAGGGCAGTCGATCACGCCGTCGCAAATTCTCGGGGACAATGCTTTCTCTTGAAGCGCTTGCACGCATCCTACGACAAGGTTGGACCAGTCATTTTTTCAAGAGGCCGGATTAAACCGGATCGGGCGAACTTTAGTCGCGAGCCCGAGCGTTTCACCTGGTTTCGCTCTGCAGCCGCCTTGGTCCGCGTACTCCGGGAAATTCGAGCAGTCCAGTAACCGTTTGATTCTATCCGGGAGTCGGCTGCCGCATCCGCTCCAGAACTCCCTGCAGAAGCTCCTGCACGGCAACTGCAGCAGGTCTTGCGGTTGATTCGAGACGCACGCCGGTTGGAGGACTTGGCAGACGAAGTCGTACGCCAGTCGGTAGCATTCCGCGTCGACCAGTTCCCTGGCGAACAACAGACGAACGTAACGCGGGTAACGTCACGCCGGGGATCGAGAAACTCGCGAGCGTCGAGCAAAATGTCGCGCCGCCAGATAGACGTACAATAATCATAAAATCCTATCAGGCACAAACCTCGAGCGGCCCTTCGGCGCTCAGCAATGAACCAGAGATCTTGGGCATCTGCATAAGGGTGGAGAAAATTCTAGTTTGCGAGCGGTGCTCGGACTTAAAATTTGTATGGGCCTTGGGGTTTTCTCATGATACGAAGCAGTACCCTGACAGGTAGCCGAGGGTAAGACAACTGTTCATCTCTACGCTATTGTCAGTGGCGCAGGACGTCGAAAGAAACAAGCAATCAAGACGTTACCTTCAACGAAGCAGCCGAGAAGAAAAATCGAACAGATGAAATCACGACAGCGTGCGAGCAACGTATCAGTACAAGTCGAAGCACTGAAGTTTTGTTAAACATAGAGTCACGTTAATATACATGGCGATGCCCGTCTTCCTTGGCAATCTAATACAAACCCTTCCATCGCTATGAATTTCATAATTCATGTCACGATCGCGACCATTTGCTTGTAACGCAAAAGATACGCGTACCTGAAAGCGATCACATCCTCTTCCACGTCGGCCAAGGAACCGTGACCCAGCACGTTCGGGTAGGACGTGACGTTGTACGGCAGATGTTTGCAATAGGACAAGTCCATGGGGCTGCATCTTCTGGGCGGCGGTGCCGCCGAGGTGGTCGGCGGTGGCGTCGAAACGGTAGGTTGCGAGCTGACCTGAGCGTTCAGCGCTTTTATACTTTCCTGTACCTCGAGACTCTGCTGGTCTATCGTCAGATTCGTCAAGTATTTCGAGGTTTCGGGATTAATCTCCCTCGACAGGATATCCACGACGTCCGCGGTCGTGATAGTCTGGTAGCGGGGGTCGAATCTGACGTCGAAATGCACGACCAAGTCGCCTCCCTCGGATCTGCGCAGAGAATTCGGTTGGGTAACGCTGCCTGTAGGTTTCAGCCGAAATGGCACGCGAATAGTTTCTCGGTCGATTAACCGCGATCATTTCGAATCGATTTCTCTCGCTGGAATTGGATCCATTTTCGAAACAGCAGCTCCGCAGCTCGGCGATATCTCCGGCGGAGATTCCAACCCACTTACCCATCGAGCGCTAATATCTCCGCGGCGAGGAACGAGAGTTTCAACCAGCTACGACGGAAGACGACGTTCAACCGATCACGGTACTCTCGGGATCGTATTCGAAAGGCTTCGGTAGAGGGATCTGCCAGCTCCGTAGCAAACGAATCTCCCTCGGTAACTCGGAAAGTAGCTAAGAAGATTTGATCGCCTGGGGGGTCTGAGGTTAAGAACGTATCTGGAATCACGAGAAATAGAAACGCATGCCATTAGGAGAGGAGGCAAGCCATTATTCGGCAACGGGCCGATCAAAAATCCGCGCATTCGGAACTGGGACGAGAAAATCGGGGGCGCTCGTGTCGGGCTCCCGATAGCAGAACCGCGAGTCGCTCGCGACTCACCTTTCACCGTGCCTTTGGTCAATCATTTTTACACCGCAGAGATCGTATTTTTTCGATGCCGGATACCCGTTGCGGACGGCGAGCGATCTTTTTGCGGCTTGCGGATCAACCGCGCGAGAATCGTGCAAGAACCGTTTTCGTTGCAGACCACTTTTCGACACCGGTTTTCGAGAGCACGATTCAGTTTTCTTTAGGAGGATGCGGAATCGGCGATCACGGCGGGCACGTCGTGGTAACGATTTCTCAATAGCACCGTAAGATCGGTTACCGGTCGCTTTCGATCGCGCAGATGCCGCGCCGTCGCGAACAGTTTGGAAATGAGAATTCGGTTAGCACGGTGACGAATCGGAACGATTCAAGGACACGAATTCCCTGTTTAAGGTCGAACATCGGTGAGATCGGAGACGCGATGGCTCGACAACTCGGTCAGACCGTTAGCTCTGCTACTTTCAAGGCCTCACTCGGCTGGACCGACGACGCAATATTCGCAACTTCTTCGACCTCCTCTTCTCTCGTTGTTCCCGCGGCGAGAATTATCGAGGAAACACGAAATCGTCACCGTTCCCCGTTAACTTATTCGACTTATACGGTAGTTCACCCGGCTTGTTTGCGTTTAAATGGTTCGATAGTAGAAGGCAGCCGCGTTTTCTTCGAAGAGTCGGTAACTCGGTCGAACCGTTATGTTCGCGCGCTGAAAGACCTGAATGGGCTCTGGCCGGATCATCCTTCTTTCCTTTGTTCGTTTCTCCGAGCGTGCCGCGAGCGGAATAATGGGTATGCCGGTAAATTTTTATAAGCTCGAAAGGTCGTCCGCGATCCGCCGTGTTTCTTTCCGCGGCGTCGTAGAAAACGAGCGTACCCTTTTCAAATATTCGAAAATCCGAAACCGGTTGTCGGTGCGGCATTGAGTATTCTTTCGTTTCGAGAGTCCCCGAGACCGTCGAGGACTTTGGCACGTACTTGGCCAGCTTTTCAACGTTCACCGTTACTTTCGTACGTGTGTTACCGGCGCGATCGTATCGATTAGAACCAGCCTGCTTCTTCTCGTGCGTGTTGCTCTTCCTCGTTTACCCGTTTACTCGTTTACCCGTTTATCGCACGATCGAGCTCGATCTCAAGGTGAAGTGCACACGTTCACGGCGAAAAGCCCCGTTCGCGGGAGAACAAAGGAAGACGTCGATCACACTTTATACTCCGAGAAACATTCAGGCACCGTAAACTCGTCCGTCTCGCGGAACGACCGCGACGTACGTATTTCACCGAGTAATTTCATGCCCGCTAGACCGTCGTCGATCGCCGGTTAACCGTGGGCCAGTATTTTCATTTACAGCACGAATCCGCGCGCCGCCGTACAGCACGAATGGCAAATCGCGCATAAGTTCGCGGAGAAAGCGCGGCGAATAAACGAGTTTCAGCGCGTTTCAAATTCTTCGACCGAGCGGATCTCCGTGTCCGATGAACAACAACACCCGCGAACGATTACGACTCGAATCCGGAATCATTCTATTCTAGTTCGCGCTCGGGACGACATACTTACAGCCAAGGTAGATGGAGACCCCCGAAAACAGAAGGAAGAGCAAAAACGCAGCCAACACGCAGCACCCGCAACGGTACTGCCCGCCGAGTTTCCTCGTGAACCGAATGTCGCTGTCCGAGGACAGAATCGAGCTCGGAGTCCCGGCACGGCTAAATCTTCTGGTGCTGACCGTGCTCACCGAAATCTGCAAAGCATATTTACACCGAACTGAACTGGGTCGCGCGATCTTCCCGATTAGTCCGTAACCAAGCTGACGGGGGAACATTTTCGACCACCGCACGCTGAATTTCGTGAGACTTACGTGACGCATAGTTCTTAAGGAGTGACGACTATCCTCGAAGTTAAGGGTTGAAAATAAATCTTTCACAGTATCTCTGAAACTATAAGGTATAGAATAGAAATCTCCTCTGTTCGCCTCGAAATGAACAATTTAGATTCATTTCCTCCTTGAAAAATACACCTTCAACCCTCTACTATAAAGGGATGTTTTCACCCGTTCAAAGTGAACGTTGGTCGATAAGAAAACAAACTAATATTTTCCTGAGATCTGTGTCTCACGTAAGCTACATCAAAGTCGGCTCGTACCGGTTGAATATATTCCCTTTTAAGTTTGGAAAGCAAAGCGCCATTCCTGTTCTTTCGCCTCGCTGAATCGGCGTCGTTGCAGGCGTTAGGCGCGGGCTAACCGCATTACCGAGATTTCTCGGGCCGAGACACGACTTGTATTAGCAATCGGCATACTTCCGTCTTGCGGACGAAACGAGGAGGCAAAGATTAAGCCACCGTTTCTAAATGACTTTTCCGCCGGTGTGTCGGGTATCTTTCGTTTCCGACGATCAAAGTTGCAGCGTAATCGACACGAGCCCCGGGAGAATGAATTACGCAATCGCGTTTCACGCGGTCGATCGAACTCGAACGACTCGCGTACGATTTCCCGTGCGCGCTCGTAACGGAGCACGCGATACTCGATACATATTTGGTAGACCGTGCGCAGGGTGTAGAGTACCGTGCGCAGTGCACCAACAGTTGCATTCAGCGTCGAGCGAAATGAGCTTATCTTCTGTGACGGGCGCGCGCATCCGAGTGTGCAAGCGTCCGTGTAATCGTCCCGCCACCCACACCGACGCGGTTTCCGTGTATTCGCGCGAATGCACGATGCGGCACAAAGAGGCCTACGCCCTCGTTCAAATGTTACGCTCGGCACACGCTCCAAAGGGGAACCGGTGAATCGCGCGCACCTTTTTCTTACCGACCCGGCGAACGAACTGCTGAAAACCTGGATCTCTCGGAAAATTTGGGCCACCCGACGAGGGAAACTAAGTACGGTAGATCGGGGTGAATTGGATGAAAAAAAGAATATCGACTGTATTTTTAGGTTGTTATAGAAATAAACATGCTGACCGTCCATATTACTTCGTACAGCTTCTCTATACTTAGTCTTTGATCTATCTTCAATCGTTTGAAACCGTTGTTTGCCAGCGCATCTTAGAATCGAAGCGAGTCGGATCACTTTTTCCCGTGTCAGTACTGGTGAACTCTAGAAAGTTCTATTTAGAACAGATGCCTATAACTCTGATGCACTTAGATTGCAATTGCCTCGGAAGAATTATCTTCGATGTTGCACGTTTTCAGAAAACAGCGCGTATGAATGCACTACTTATGATCCTTCATTATAATATAAGAGATATCTCGAACAATTCTTCATTTTTCAGTTTTCCGTGTATAAAACGAAGATTTTTAAGTTTTTAGACATTCTTCTTACTGATATTGAAGCCGATTGTATGTCAATAGGAAATTTATAAAAACAGTTTTCAATTCTAAGTTTCAACTGTAAGTTTGTCGCTGATAAATCCGAACCGATCTGATTCGCCTCGGTTTACCCTACGTGATCCGTATCAATTTCGCGTGCATTCGGATCGAAAAGCGTGCGCAAGTGTCGGGGCGCGCGTTCTCGCGCGAGTAAAAGTGAATTTGCGAGTCGCGCACCGCCGAGGGACGAATCCGTTTTCCCACGGGAGTCGGCGTCCTACGCTCGTAGTCGCGACGATATCGTTTATAGGCGCGCAAACGGGAAAGCGGTTTCCCAATAACCGCCGCAGTGCGTTTAATGAGATATTATTATCTCGCTCGATCTCCGTTTTCGATCGTTTCTGTAAGCCACGGACAGGAACCACCGATTATCTCGTTATTACTTAAATGAGACGCGCGGTGTGTATGCATTCCCAATAGACAGCTATTAAATTGATAAAGGCTCGACTAATTGCAACGATTCGCGCGCGAGCGCGAGCGCGAGCGCCGACGAACGCGTACGAAATTAGCATCAAGTGCGGGATGCAATAACGTTTCATCGTCGATTCGGCTCGAATATGTCGATCGGGATCGTTAACGAATCGAGATTCCGTTCGCGCGTTATGTAAGCGACCACGGTCCAGTCGTAAGGGGTGTCTTTGGTAAACAATAGCGCCGGGAGAATTACGAAAGACGAATGAAAGTTTGAGCACGAAGCCTTTGTGTACGTTCTACCTAGTTCGATAATGGTCTTTGATTCGAGTTTTCATAGGAAATGCTTGTTCAACGAGCCACGATTACGCAACGCAGCTGCGTTTCTTTAGGTGGAGCACGATGGATAAGAACAGCCGCGAGGATCGTACCATCGAAAGGGAAATTTTCCAACGGTTGTTCGCCCTTGTCTTTCCTCGGCGCGATCCAACGCTGCAGACCCACAAAGCGGGGAAGCAGCAAAGCGGCAAAGCGGCCAAAAGGTCGGCAAACCCGTGACTTTCCTCTCGCGGTAAGAACGGCAACTTTCCGATGAAAGATGCTCCCGCGATCTGGGACGCGCGGCAGGGACGCGGAAAACTTGAAAACGAAACACGCGATTACGTTAAATAGACGGAGGCTCGCGCGTTACAAGCAAGGTTCGAAAGTTCGATTCAAAGTCGGCGAACGACGCCGATCGCGCGGTGGAGATCGTTCGAGGTGATTGGGACGCGCTTCGACTACTGCATGGTTGTCCCAGCTTCGAGATCGCGTCCGTTAATGGACACGGTCGGCGACTTTAAAGTGAAGAAAAATCAGGACTCGACGCGTTAGGAAAGTGCTTTCCATGGGTGACGTTTTTGTGAAAGTTCGTTGTCGATTTTCGTTATAGAGAGAGAGTTCCGCCCGTCCGAGTATCGTTCTGCTCCCGATAGGATAGAATCGGACGATACCCATCGGACCGTAAGAATGGAACGTAAAGCTGATCGTTACCGGTCAATTTCCGCTGCGACGCGTATCGGTATCGCGTTTAGTCCGTCCGTATCGAGCGAATCGTCTCTCGCGAATAATTGTACCGATCCGGCGATAAAGAGTAAGCGACGTTCGAGGCAGCGTTCGTTCCGTGGAAAGAAACGGTGTCGATGACCTGCGCAAAGAAATCAACCAAGTTCCAATGACTCGCGTCCCCGGTTCCTCGTGTCTTTCTTCACCGTTATTACCGTTACTCTAAACGTCCGCCGAGCCACCTTTCCAAAAGAGCTAGAATCTAGGAACGAGTTCTGCTCGCTTTAAATTACAATCGTTTACCGCGGCACGGCCGCCGACTCTTTTGCTCGTGTTCTGGCTCGCGCTCGCGCTCGCGCACGTGCGTGCAGCCAACCATAGGAGCGCCGTAAAACCGTAGTCGTTATCGCGCCACGGTTTATCCGTTCGCGTGATAATCGTTTTCACCGATTAAGAGGAATTCTCGCTCGTCGCTGCGCTCCGTGCCGCTCTCTTTTATCTATGATCGATGTGTCCCGAACCACCGATTCCTAAGCGAAATTATAGATCGACGTGCATGCACGCGCGCGCGCCTTGTAACACCCTCATCGATTCGAGTTCAAGTTAGAAACCGAGAAAGCGTTAAACTTTACGTGTACCCGATTTGAACGGTAATCGCGGGCCACGTGATAAATGTCATTCGCATATTCGAGCGGAATGCCAATTGCGTGATTTGCCGCTACCAGCAACGAACGTAACGGTATCGAGAAGAGAAGCAGAGATAGATGACGGGGGCCCAACCCAAGAGCAAGACGAACCAAGCCCAGCCAAGCCAACCCGAACTAACGCATCGCGTTCTTTATTCCAGTTCTCTTCAACCTAGTTCACCGAGGAGTGCGTAGGTATTCGGTGTATCGTTCTCCATTCGGGGTCAATGGAGAACAAGGTCAACGCGTCTGCGGAGAAACGCTGTACCGAAACGCGATACCTTCGGTCCGAGACGGCGCTTCTTTGGAACGGTGTAAAACTTTACAAACGCGATCCTCCCGCTCTGATTTTCCCAGCGGAAATATCGGTTACCCGTAGGACTGCAGCGTGCACCGCGGAAAATAATTCGAGTATCGTGCGTCCGTTAAAAATCATCTTTCTCCCCCGAGCCGAAATTCTCTAGCGAAGAAGAATAATAACCGTTTAAGAAGCAACAATCGACTCTCCCGCGTGGTTGCACTGCCGCCCGACACAATACACGCTGTTTCTGTCGACATACATCGTTTCCCTTCGATTTTACCTTGTGTTTCGCGGCTGATTTCACACAGGGGCCAACCAGTTAATTAACCGCGGGACACAAACGGGAAGGTAACGAGCGAGGAAAGCGCGTACAGGGGGAAAGTGCGCCACATTCGTCTCACCTTCGAATCCCACGAGCTCTTCCGCTTGTGTTCCATCGCGACGGTCATTTTCGAGCGATTCTCTTTCGCTTCATCAACGATCCTTCGGTATGTTTGCCGCGTGCAGTCGCACGAACATCATTTTCGAGCCGAATCCCGCCTCGGGAGCCTCGCGGTCTCCGTCCCAGCGATGGTTATCCCGATGAGATTATCTCCAGGTACCCGCTGTTCACAGCTGTTCGGACTTTTGTGCGGCAACTTTTACGCTCGATGCCTGTGCAAACAGAAAAAGATCAAATAAAGAGGATAATTATAGCCGTGTGACGCGTAACAGATTCCAGTGCCGGTGTTGTAGGCAATAAGACACATAGCAAACGACTCGGAACAATGATATTTGGAAAAAATCTACGACACGACGCGACGAGTAATTCCATCGAAATCCCATGCAATCTTTACCAGTCTCCGCTTTTACTTCGTCCAACCCCACCTGTTAGCCGTGAGGTTTACTTTCCAACGTAGATGGCAAATATCAATTTCCGCGCTGTACCGCGGCAAATATTTTTGCCGATCGCGCGAGAGAACTACACCGCGGTTCGAGCAACAGGTGCACAACAGTAAACGTAGCTGACAGCGCCGTCGTCGCCGCTAGAACGAAAAGTTCACGCTCCAACCCCGAGCGAGACGAGAGAAGGTAGAGAGACGGGCGAGGCGTTCGGCGCTCGTCCAGATAACCGATTCGATCGGCGGGACCGTAGAACAATTTCTCCGAGAGCAAGCCGAGGGACCGACTACGAGGCGAGAGAGATTGTCCCGAACGAAACGAGACTGCCAGGGGAACGGAGACTCGCTCGCAGCCTCGCTCCCTCGCTCCCTCGCTACCTCGCTTCTGGATGCACTTTCACGTCATTACCGGTTCTCCGCAAGACGCGTCACGATCCGACGCGGCGCGCCGCGACGCGACGCGCCACCTTTAAGCGCATTCCCCGAACGCGAATTTATTCGACCTTAATCGCTCGAGGGGCCAATAGAGCGATTCATTCATTTTCCATTCGACGCGCGGTCATTTTCGAGCGTCGGCAATTGCCGTTTCTCGACGATCCACCGATTCATCGTGAGACTAGGAATGTATTCGTCGAGACGTATCCGCGTATTTTATTTCTATCCAAACAATCAAGGCTCGAAACGTCGGACGCCGCGTGAAATCGAATTCCAGGCTCCGCACGATACGGCCGAGAGAATAAAAGAATATTTTTAGGTTCAACCTGTTCCCGAGGAATTTGACTGGAACCAAAACCGCTCTTCCGAGGCAACTTTCAAGGGGAACTAGTTTAAATCTGGATTCCGTCGAATAACACAGACCCGTTCCCCGTTCCCTGGACCTTAACTGACTGTCAATGAACCGGGTTTTGCGTATCGTACACGTCGGATTTTTTTTATTAATCTGCTCGTGCACTATCGCGTTTCAAGGGTAGACAGAAGGCGAGTAGAAGCTAACGCCGCGACGTTCGAGCCGTATCGATTACCAAAGTCGCGCTATTCTTTCGACACCGCTCTTCGCGCGTGACATTTCAAAAGCGAATCTCGCGCGGGCCGAAGTTTCGAGGATACAAAAAGGCGCGTATCCGTGTCAATCGTCGTGTGACGGACGGCGAAAGGTTTTCTACTGGACTGAAAGCTTCGACCGATAAAGAATGCGACGCGCGGCTGCACGGGCGCGCACCAATGCGCCTCTAAACGTGTATTTCAAAAGTTCTCTCCGCTCGCAGGCTTACCTTAATTTCGTTCCTTCCCAGGCGTGCGGTAATCTCGCTGGAAGTTCGGCGAGCCCTCCGCCGCACGAATTTATGTCACCGCACGAATCATTTTGGTTCTTCGGACGGAAGGCCGGACGTTTGAATCGTTCGAAAGGAAGGGCCGCAAAGCGCACGCGCGATTTTCACTGATCGTGAGATCGATGCAACATCACGTTCTCTCCGCGGCAGAAGTATCGTCGGTTGGGACGACAGCTGTTGGTCAGGCCGGAAACGCTTCCCTCCCGATCCCAGGGAACGTTCGGGCGAAGGGTCCCACCGTACACTGTACGAAAGAGCCGAGCGCGATCTTCTTCTTTCTTCGCGTCACGGAAACGAGTAACCGTTAACGCGATAGCCGAACCTTCGAGGAGAGAGGTGCACGCACGAATGTGCTCTGCTCGACGGTCGACTGCCGATTAATGACCTGGCGAACGTACGCGCGCCCTTCTCCGTCACAAGTTCGCCTCCGGTATACCGTTTACCAGCTCTCGGACTAATTGTTTACATTTGCATACATTACACGACTTTTAAAAACGTGCTGGCGCAAACGAACTCTGCCCACCTATCTAATGCACGTTTCGCGCTAGGTGTTTTCTCCGGGTTATTCGAGGAAACGGAAATATACAGGGTGTTACCTGTAACGTGACGAACAACGATCTTTTACTCGAAATTTACAAGAGTTGCAGGGCATGCGGTGTACGATAGATAAACAGATTAAGAAAACAGAGTGTTTTCACGGCGAAATCGGGGTCACCTTGGATTTACAAATAGGAACAGATATTTCTCTTTTCACCATATTGTAGAATATCGAGATGTACATCTCGATTTACAGTAGTGGAAATGTGAAATATTTAGATTTTTTGGTCGTACTCTAGGACAATGTAAACATTATTTACATGCCCTGCTCTGAACCTTTAAACTTCTGCTTCGTTCTAAACCTGTTCATCGAGTGGCTGCAAGTGGATGAAAAATTGTGCGTCGGAGATAACAACATGCATATTTAATTATCAAATTGATTCGTTTTAAAACTCGTCGCGATATCGTTGAGAGCGTTCGATTCCTTTAACGCGCACTTCCATGTACGAACAAATCTCGGGTATCCCGCAGAACTAGGTATCGTGGCTAGATCCCGAATACGGTATTATTTCCATCGACGATCGACATACTAACACGATCGAAATCCTAAAAAGGTTCTTGCTCCCGGTACAGAGGCACGCTTTAATGATTGCTCGAAAGCTGCGAATACATCACGCGATGGTTGGATATTACCGCGAAACCAACGAGAAAGTCTGGGTAAAAATAGGAATGCCTAACGCAGTTCGAGTACTTAATTGTTCAGTTTATTCGTTTGGACAATTAAACGATACATATACATGTTGTGTACGAATTACATCTCCCTCCCTCTCTTTCTCACGTTCTTTCTCTCGCACTTTCTCACCCTCTTGCACTCGCACATTCTCTCTGTCTTTCTCTCCCTCTCTTTCTCGCTCTTTCTCTCTCTCTCTTTCTCCCAGTGTCTCTCTCGCTCTCTCTCTCTCTCTCTTTCTCTCTTATAGGTCTAAATACATCGACTGCCATCGAAGGCGGACACAAGGCATCGAGCGATGCAAAGTACTCCGCGCCACGATCGCATAGCTACGTTTTAATGATAATAATAAAAATTAAGTATAACTACCCTGTAAAATACGTAATGCGAAAGTTCATTGATATTCGTTTATATTTATTCGTGATTGTAATTCACTGATACTCGAGAATGATACTATCGTTTCGGGGTTAGCGGTATAAATAGGTACACGCTCTCTGCAATTCAATAGATTCGCAAGTTTCGAAGGAGATCTATGATATAATGGGTTATTCAGGCAATCGACAGTGTCGGGCAATGCGTTCTCTCTGGCCGACGCGCGATACTTATCGTTCGTTCGATTTCACGGTAAAATCGCGCCACGAATGAATGGCGTACGAGAAAATACCGATGATACAATTGGGATGCGCGAATAAACGATCGTCGTGTCGCATCGACATGTCGGTGGAACTTTATCGGTGATGTCCTATACGACTTCGCGATTGAAAAGGATCTCAAGATCGTTACGATCTTCTTGTCTGTTCGCAGTTCTCGAATGATAATCGGTCGAAATCGCGAGTATATCAACCCTTTCTGAATGTACTTTCGTATGCGCACGCCGACAAAGGTCAGAGCTGATGTATACTTTGAATCATTAAACCGTGAAAATGTTGCGCATACGCGATTAGCTTTTCACCTGGAATTTCGTGTGTATATATATATAGTAGGTACATTCTTCCCCTAGAGAAAACGTGATTCCAATACTCGTCGCGGCACGGAGAGGTAAGCCCGATTGAAATTCTCCGATTCGTCAACACGTGCACCGAGATAATGCATCTTCCCCGGTAAAAATTGATGTTCGCATGATCATAGAACGATGCTGTCGTCGGGCGCTCGATTGAAAAATAACCGGCGCTCGCTTAACGAGATCTTCTCGAAGATTTCTGGTACAAATACGAATGCGCAGAAGTAGAATCGTGAAATGCAACGGCTACGTATTGCGGTACGCAAATGCGATATCGGATCGTTAGTCGTCCGTTGATCAACTGCCGAGTTGAAATCTAAAAATAAGGTCGCGTGCTAACGACGAATTTCAATAAAAATCGAACGATGCACAGTAGATTGACGCGTGAATGAGAATGGTCCCTGAAATAAACAGAATGAACTCGACTTGGTCTGCATACGCGAAACTGAGGTATTGTCCGTAAGAAGATGCGCCCCGAGTTTGATAAAGAGGTAGAAGAAACGTTCGTTCGAGTTGGTTCGCGGGCGT